AGCATAGCAGCACCAACATTCTGTCTGCTTGACTTCTGATATGTTACCTAATGTTCTATTATATACTATCAACATTAACACTATATTCCCCTTTCTGATATTTCCCTAGTTTAGAAAAAAATAGTTGTCACCATTTATTGGTATTGATGTCCTTGAAGGCTATTCACTCAGTATTTATTTGAGGACTGTTATCACATGCTTTGAAAAGCAGAATGAAAGGTTTCAAGGAAGTCTAAAAAAGAAATAAACATATAATATATCTCTCACAATGATGGAAATACATCTTTCTCTGTGCCTGACACTGCCTGTACTCGTTGGCTTACATCCATTAAAGAGTCTAGTGGAATGATTCATCATTTGGCAAGAACATGTTTTTGTTGTTCCTTCTAAGTTCCAGATATAAAAGAGAAAGAACTGGAACATTACTTGTGTATTCTTGTACTTCGAGGCTGGAAGTACTGTTGTTGTTTTTGGTTTTCTCCTTCCTACGATCTATTTGGATCTCAGAAACTGTAAACCCAAGAGAAAGCTTAACGTTTCCCACAGTGTAGTGTTGCATCTCATCCTACCCAGGCAATATAATTGAACCAATTTGCCAGAAGTTCGCTCACTTTGATTTGTCAAAAGAGTATTGTTTTTTTCCAGATTGCTTATTTGCAGTCAAAAAATATATACACCATTTTAATGTTCCAAAAAAGAAATGGTGGCTGCGCTACAGTACTGTGTTCATCCAGTTTCCATGGTGATTGGACCTCACCAATTATAGTGGCTCTGAAATAAAAAGTTCCGATTCTTGCTCGGTGTGTGGCACTGAGTTCTCCCTTTGTCAGTGTGATGGCTGAACAGAGTGCAGAGCTGTTAAGCTGTCATTTGATTGGATGCCAGCGTGCTGCTTAGCTCTGTGGGGGGGGACAGATGCAGCGAGGGTTTAATGATCTGCATCAGTGAGCCCAGGTAAAGAGGATGTGGTGAAAATCAGCTGGCAGGTCTAAAAACTACAAGCAACCCAGGGAATCCTTAAAAGTTTGGGAATTTGAGGGGGAAAGAATACAAGTTGAAGTTGAAATGGAAACATTTTGTTCTGTAAAGCCTGCTATAGCCTCATAATTCTCATCCTAAAGACTCTCAGGGTTGTAAAAGTAGTCATTGTGTCACAGTTCTTGACTTTGAAAGAATGTACCTTGAAAGCAAATTAAAATCCATGTCTATAAAGGTGTGTGAGCCCTGATCTAATAAGTGAAACAACAAGGTTTACTACGTTGGTTTATTAATATGAAACATTAGGGTCAATTATCCAAATGTGTCTAGGGTATTTATCTTTATTAAGTCATTATTTGTTTTATTACAAGTCATTCCTACGGGCCTTCCCTTCAGGAAATGGTTTTCTCACACCTGCTTTTTATGTCTTTCCCTCCTACATTCCAACCAGCGCGCTGTACGTAGTAGATTTGAAGAAGTTCCGGAAGATTGCCGCTGGGGACAGATTACGAGGGCAGTACCAGGCCCTGAGCCAGGACCCCAACAGTCTGTCCAACCTGGACCAGGTACGCCGCTCTGAAGGACATCATAGCATTTATAAACACGCAGTTGAGATTCCACATTTGTGATATATGTTTGAATGTTTCTTTAGGACCTTCCTAACAACATGATCCACCAAGTGGCCATCAAGTCTCTCCCTCAGGAGTGGCTGTGGTGTGAGACGTGGTGCGACGAAACCTCCAAAGTCTCCGCTAAGACCATCGACCTGGTGAGTTCCACAGCCGTGACATCTATTATCATTCACATCTTTTTAGATGAGATAATTATTAGCAACCCCCCACTTTAAATGTTCTTATAGTCTTTATTATTTACCTACCTTTATATTGTTTTATTTATTTTATAGGTCTTAAAGGATTTTATCTTATGTTATTAATCTAACAAACTTCAATAGCAATATTTATTTTTACGTTGGTATATTTGTATTCTTAATCGTTTAACCTTTAGTAGAATTATGGCGTTTTTATTACTATTATCTTTCTATTTGTATTTCTGTTGTACCTATATGTTCACTTTGTTTTATGGGGTTTTATATTTTATATTGTTGCATCGACTCAGTTGTCTTGTGTCTTATCTGTCAGAGAGAAACCATTATTTATTTAATTTAATTTTTATTATCATACATTTTTTTCTTGTTTGTCTTGAATTTCTTGTTTATTGTGAACTTGTGATGTGTCATTTTATAAAGCACTTTGAGCTGCATGTGTTGTATGAAAAGTGCTATATAAATAAAGCTTTATTATTAACAACTTTGTTTAGATGGTAAAATCCCTTTTTCCTTCTTTTTTAAAATATGTATTGTGTCTTGAAACATGCGGATAATGAACAAAGGGTTCGTATACCACTTTGTAGCCATGTTTGCAGGTTTTTGTTGATAATGGTGAACTGTATTTGCTGCAGCACTAAAAGACTGGAGTCCCCTCTACTGTGTAATGTCCATGATGCACTTGGCATTTAGGAAACAATTTAGGAGCAATCCTGTAGTCTCCTAAACTCATTTAGAGAATTACTGGACGGCCTCTAGTGGATTGGAATAGGAAGCTTTGTCTCATCGTGGTAATTCAGACACAAGACATGGGCTAATGTCCTTTTAACAGAATTGGAAATCAAATTAGGTTCCAATGCTCGCCACGGACAGTGCTGGGAACGACAATACGACTCGTTGGGAGGAAGTGGCCCGCGTGCTGTGAGTAATGCGCTTTGTCTCTCTGCTGCAGTGCAATAACCCGAGGACCAAGGAGCCCAAGCTAACGGCCGCAGCTAGGATCGTGCCTGAGTGGGTAGAATATGACAACGAGATAAAACAGCTGCTGAGGCGGGTTCAGGGACAGGAGGACACACCGGCGCCAAAACACACTCCCTCTGCCTCACAACATGAAAAAGGTTTGAAATAAAACATCATGTATTCCCAGTTTTACAAGAAAGAAAAGTCTAATGATCTATTCTACTCTTGTATGATTAACCTTTTTGTCTCTCTCTCTCTCCACTGTGCTCATTTTCATTATTCGTCTCCTACCTTCACCCCTAGACAACCAGCGTGATGAACTTTAGTGCCTGCCAGCCCCGTCCTGGAGAGGGGAGGGGGGCAGAACCTTTTTGCACGCAGCCCACCTGTGAAGCTTGACAGACAATTCCATCTAAACATAGCCATGGAGCGTTGCATCCCCAGCAGGATGTGATATTTTCAGATGCCATATCTGCTACTGCAGTGTTACAAAATGAACACGTATTGTAAGTGTTAACTGCCGACTGGGAACTTACGGGGTGCTTTCATCACTCAAATAAGTTCTTTGTTAGGATGTGATTGCCATGGTAAATGAAGTTAACTAAGAAGGAACTTGACAAGAAATTCCATAAGTGAAACATTATTTGTGATCCTGCCCCACCCTTCCATCACTTTTGATTAATACCTGGCATGTACTGTTATCAATGATGTAATCCTGCTGTCAAACAGATAAATAAATCAACAAACTACAATATCCTCATAGCAGGGGTAATGATGAGAGGTCAGTCAAAGCACTCTCTCAGACGTGTGTTTGAAAATAAAAACAATATTGCACTGATAATGTATGCAAGAATCAAACTGAGAGGGCACATTTCTAAGACTCTTTTTGTTCAGTTTTTCTATCATGGAAAACTGTTTCACAAAGTTTATGCATTTGCGTATCAATTTGCCAAAACCAAAGTGGTGAAAAGTGTTCTTACTGTTAAAACTGTTACATTAGTACTTGGGACTGTTCTTTATTAGTGGGTGTCATTCTTATTCTTGGTCAAGAGTAGGGGACTGTCTTTTCTTTACCTCAAATCTTTTTTAGTTTAGCCTTCCCTTGCAAGATTTATTATACAGGTTAGTGAGTTTATACTTATTGATCATCTAGTAAGTAGAATATCATTGTTCCACCCTCCTGTCTAGTTGCTCCTTTTATTATAAATCATAACAGAAATCTGAAACACAAGTCCAATATGTCTGAATATATTACTATGCACGTTCAGCATCACTCATTGATCAGTATGAACAGTCCTGCTAACTATATTTCAGGGTGGCTTGGAAACTACTCTCAAGCCCTTCAGCATTCACACATCTAGAGCCTGTTTAGTTTCACACAAATTGTTCATTTAAATTCTTAAGAGAATGGACGTCTTATTACCTTTGTTTTATTTGCCATAAATGTGTTTTGAATACTTTTGCTTTTTCAATTTCAAATGGAGGTTCCAATTAAACTATAATTAAAGCTGGGAGTGCCATGATGTTTTATAAAATTACAAATTCAACCCCTTTACCCAACAGCAGTTACAGTTGGTTAAACCCCGCCCCTGATTAGCGATTATCCAATGGCAGGACCTCATTGCCAAGGTGTGGATCAAAGGGTCCTCATTTGCACACTAAAGGTCATGGTCTACTGGTAGGATTTATGATTTTAACTTATTACAGTATGTTTACATCTTAGCTACATTTGGCTTCACTGCATTGAGTTTCTAGAAGTTACTTTCAAATATTAGAATTCCACAATGAACCACTGTTTTTGTCTCAGGAATAAAATGGGTGATGCTGCTCAGTCAAAGCCAACTGTCATTTTTCCTTGTCTTAAAGCCAATTAAACATTTTCACTGTGCTGTGTCAAATACAATTGTTTATATTTCTGTTAGGTAAAATTAAATCTTTGCTACAAAACCATCATTACTGAATCCTTTGTTTAATCTGTGGTCCTCGGTGTGGTCCTCGGTGTGGTCCTCGGATCCTGCTCTGTACGGGCTACAATCGATGAATTTCCTAACAATGTAATTTAGTTTCTTGCTATTACATCATGTGAAAATACATTTATGTGGAAAAGAAGCCGTAAAGATGGCTGTAATTTGGAAAAGGTTAAATCTGATGAAGTACTATTTCTCAAACTGGCTTCGCTCCATGAATGCAGTAAAGTACCTCTCTGACCTTTCCATACAGCAATACTCTTACCCGTATATTCAACTCAAGGTACATAAATATTTCTTTATTTACAGTTCAGAAAAACTCCATTCATATAAAAATAGCAGTGTACCTATGTACAAAGTGCACCTTCTGAATGGATGTGTATCTTAGTGAACGTGGAGAAGATGTGTCAGAATTAACTACTTGACATAAAAGCTGCTTCACACATGGCAGATATTTGTTAGCATAGCAACAGACCTTCCCCAAACGGAATTCAAAGTTGTATCATTCAACAACAAAAATGCATTATTTAATTAAGGTCACTGAATTAAAGTCACAATTTGCTCCACATTTGTTGAGAGACTTAGGACATTCCTAGCATTCCTTATGTCCCTGATCTCCCTTCTTAAATGGGGAGGAAAATAGGAGAAACGCTCCAGCTGTGCTGGATATGAGCTCCCTCAGTTGTGGTTGAATTTAAAGTTGAAGGGTCCAGAGCCAAATGGATTGAAACCCTGATAGCCTTGATGGAAGTGCTGATGGTGAGAACGACCCTGCTGGCTCTCTGGATCCATGGGGTCCTCCCCGTGGTCAAACTTGGTTCTCATCTCTAGAAAAAACACAACATATCAGAACAGACAATTCCACAAAATAAAAAACATATTCATTTTGAATAAGAAATCAATCCTTCTAGGAGTTAGTATTAAAAAAAACGCAGTGTCTACAGCAGTGGTTCTCAACTGGTGGGTCGCGGACCCGTTTCAAGTGGGTCGCGGATGTGTGAGTGAAGACATTTTTTTTTAAAAAGCAAACTTTTATTTTGAAGAACCGATTTTCTAACGCTGTGCATGCAGTAGTCGTTGGACTGGAAGTACCGGAGACCATAAACGATTTTGAAAACTTCTGTCACGTAGTGATTATCTTCTCAATAAAACATCTTTGCTGATGTTTTTTCGAGTCTTCTGGCCAATCAGAATCAAGATTGTTGCCGGAAGTCCCCACGGAAAATAACTTAGCGGTAGAACTATTCTTTATACATCAATGGGAACAACTTCAGATAGAAATGAACACATAATGAAATATGACCCCCGGTTTGATGATTGACAGGTCACAGAACAATGGGAGCCATCTACCCTTACCCACAATTTAAAGTAAGTCACACAGACTATCTCCTCTTTACTCTTCTCTCAGCAAGCTGTCAGAACTAAGTGAAAAACAAACAATGGCATAAAATATTATTAATATGTATGATTTATTTATTTTCTTCTCAGAGTGTACCAGAATGCGTAGTTTGTTAGTATTTCAAAAAATCTCCTGGGGGAGAATCCCCCCAGACCCCCCTGCTGGGGTTGGGTTTTCAGCATGTGTGCCTTTTTATATAGTTCAGCTTTGATTCCATCATCTCATTAAACCTTTTTTAAAAGCATACTTTAGTTCTGTGAAGGGATATATGCACTGTACTTCACTTTTATTAATATTGTATTCTGAAAAGCGTATATTACAGCACGATTTTTTGTTGAATAGATTTGGGTGCTTCAAAATGTTGGGTCGCGATGTATTGACCAAGTAAAAAGTGGGTCCCGAGGCCTAACCAGTTGAGAACCACTGGTCTACAGTATATGCACTTGGGTGAAAATATATACATCACAGGTATTTGGCTAATTCATTACATTACATGTACATGTCATTTGTTAGACGCTTTTATCCAAAGCGACTAACATGCATTCAGTACTGAGGACAATCCCCAAAGGAGCAATTTGGGGTGAAGTGTCTTGCCCAGGGACACAACGACATGCTGACTGCAGTGGGACTCGAACTTGCTATCCCCTGATTCAAAGTCCAGCACTCTATCCACTGAGCCACAGCATGAAATTCCATGCAATTCCATGCAAACCCCATACCCCCCTCCCCTCATCAGAAAATGTCGTATAGCACGGTATAAGGCTACTAAGCGCCAAAGCACGCTCCAAATGTCTTGTCCAAATTTTTGTTGGAGATGTTTTTTCAGAGACAGAGCGTCTTTGGTGTGAAGGATATCAATGAATTAGGGAGGACACATAAAACACAAAATATAGGCCTTTATAATAATTACTATGGATACCTGGATGCATGGCCTGATTTCAGTTGAGTTAAATTCAGGAATTAAGCAAAATTGCAAGCTCACATTACTAATGCCCCATGTGGATTACTGTGATGTGTGATTGCCAATTCTAACTACAAAGAGACATGAGTGCGAACTGTAGTGTTAAGATGCAACCTGTGAATAAACTACAAATATTACATTGTATTTGAGTGAAATTAGGAAATGAATAGTGGTAACATTTCCACACTAGGAGTGCCTATGCTCTTACTTCTTTCTGTAAGATGTTTGAATAAAACTATTTACTGAAAAAATGGATGCTCAGTAAAATAATAAGGGTCTCAAGCTGCTTGAACAGAACAGAAAGTACGTAGCGAGCTGTTCACCGCAGCCCCTCAGAGGCCTGGCATTTACCGGAGACTGACAGCAGAACTTTCCACCGACTCTGCAGAACACACAACTTCTTACCTGGGTCAGTGAGAACCTCTTTGGCCTGAGCGATGTCTATAAACTTCTTCTCAGCCTTCTTCTTTTCTTCTGGTTTATGGAAGTTGTCCGGATGCCACTGTTGTGCCAGTTTCCTGTAGGCTTTGGTGATTTCCTTTTTCTGTGCATTTCTGTGACAATGAGAGAGGGAGGGGCATATTTACTATCAACACAAGCTGGACCTAATAATGCTTGACAAAGAGTTAGGGTTAGAAGGCTTTCTTAAAATGTAATACAAGTTAAATTGTCAATAGTGCCTTTTTTTGCAGAGCAACGGTTGTTATACAGTCCCAAAAGAAAAACAAATACATTTCTGAAGCAGCCTTGCAAAGCAACCCATTTGTCAAAAAAAATGAATAAGAAAAACCCCAATTATTCTTATATTGATACTTCCCTAAAATAATTCCCTGTCTGGAAAACACCTATTTCAAAAGAAATCCAATAACCAAAACTGCAGTGCCCACCTCTTCACTCCCAGGATCTTGTAGTAATCCCTCTTGAGGGACTGTTTGAGAAGTCGCTGAGCTTTCTCCAGGCCTTCTTTTATCTGCCGGTCGTTCTCGCTGTGTTTTGAAGCAGTCTCATAATCCTGAATAGCTGGAAAATAAAAAAGGGAGGACATAATAAGTATTGCTTTCTCCTCCAAAGCAGCTAATGGGAAGTTAAGTACAGTATTACAGTACAGTAGAATGAAACACAGGACCTTTAGACCTCATTGTAGCAAGCATCCATGCTGCTAAAGTGTCTATGAGCAATGCTCAGGGTCATGTTGTGTCTGGTTCATCATCTAATTGAAGGCTCAATCATAATTCTCACAAGAATGTACATGGATCAGCTAACAATAATTGAATTATATTTCAATCTGTGCCTTAATTTCCTCAATTTAGCTGTTGTGACGCGGACATTACTGTGACACAAGTCTATATCTACTTCCTTTTACAAATGATTTTGAATGCTGGCACTGCATTTATGACTTTATGACTAACAGTAACAGTAACACTTTGCAGACTCACCAATAGATGATCTCATCACAGGAGACTTGTGTTTGCATCCCAAGAGAAGGCTAATAGTCTACAGCCATGCTATTAGCTTTGTGAGGCCGCACAGCACACGAGCACAATGCTATGCTGATGTTTGCGGCATGGTAATCATTAGAACTATATAAAAAAACATGTTAATATTTAGCAGGTATGATTCTGATTTTCTCTTAGTTCAGCATACTGATTTTAGTATGTCTAATGATTACCATTCTGCAGAGGTGGGGACTCGAGTCACATGACTTGACTCGAGTCAGACTCAATTCGCATATTTTTTGACTTGAGACTTGCTTGACTAACAATGATAAAAGACTTGACTTTGTATTCATGACTTGAGACTTGACTTAAGCTTGAGACAGATGACTTGAAAGGACTTGTCTTTTTAAAATTAAATATTTGCATTTGTTTTTGTAGTGAGATATTGCATTTAGTTTTTTCGAAAAACGTGATTGGGTGATTATAGCGCCGGGCGCGCAAACCTGGCAACCCACTAGACGGCAGGAGCGTCAGTTAACATGGCACCGGCTAGCGTTACTCCACAAATAGTGAAGTTTGGATTCAAGGATTATGTTGTCGATGACGCTAATAAGAAGAGAACAGCGGTATGCAGGGTCTGCAGCATAAAGATCAGTGACAAGAGAAGAGGAACAAATTAAATGATTTGAAAATGATATCTATGTAGGTGCTGATGCTGTTGGCGGTTCTAGTGTTAACAGAAATTTAAATTAAATATGTGTAATGGCAAATGCCATATATGATTTTCTTACCTGGAATTCTGCCTTTTTGAACAGACTTTTTGACTGAGTCCTAGCTATATTGTCTGCAGTTCTAGGGTTAATATTAATCTAATATGATTGTCATCGGTCTAAATTAGATTTCAAATGATTAACTGTGTATGTAATGAAGATCATAGTGTGGGTTAAATCCATGTTCATAATCACTGTCTTTTAACTGATTTAAATGCGGAAACTGGGCTTATTCATCAGAATTTCGTATGACTTGACTTGACTTGCTTGACCTGAGCAATGACTTGACTTGACTTGCTTGACTCTCACCACAGTGACTTGGGACTTGCTTGATACTTGTAGGTCAAGACTTGAGACTTGCTCATGACTTGCACATGTAGGACTTACTCCCACCTCTGCCATTCTGTCTAAACTAGTGTTTAAGCATGCTAACGTGCTGATGCTAAGCGAGTGTAATGATGACATCGCTAACGGTTTATCCTGTTAACCAACCTTTGCTAATTAGCACTAAACAAAAATCGGAATGTCATCAAATGTAAATGATATCATAAAAAGGTTAGAGAAAATATATTACAGAATGTTGTCAAATTAATCTTAAAGGTCCCCTATTATACTGTTTTTCATCAATATATTATAAGTATTTGGTTAAAAAGAACACAATGGTGCTCTAGAAGGAGATTCAGGTGATAAGGTGTGGGGGGGGGGGGTTACCTTGGTTGGTGATTGGCTCATGGTTACACAAGCCAAACAATCGTTATGACATCATAAAATCAGCTCATTTTCAATGGATCAGGATAAAAAGTGAGCGAATCATTTTTCCTGAAACTTTCAGAATCTCTTTACACTGAGGGGACACATATTTATGTATAAAAGACATGAAAATGTGTATTTTGCATAATAAGTGACCTTTAAGACAAATAACTGCACACGTTTTGCATTGAAGGAGGGTCTTTAAATCCACTGTTGAGGTTTTCTGAGACTGTTGTGATAAAGATGTGATTATCTATAGTAAAGTAAGATATGTACAATCAGCTGTAACTGTCAAGAAAAACATGTACAGTATTAGCCCTGGTTGAAACATATGTTTACTTTTAATAAAACACAAGTGTTGCTAGAATCATTGGTATTATAGACTTGTTCATCTCCACCTAATGAAGCGATATGATCAACGTAGCATTTTCGACCATTATTTGTGTCCTTCGTAAAGCCATCCCTGGAAATCCCTCTTGCTATTAAAGAAACCACTTTCTTCATCCTCACCTTCAGATCATGTTGCTGCAGCTCCAGGCTGTTTGTGTGCGCACGTGTGTGTGTGCTTTGAGGCTTGTTTACCCTGTGAGACGTACTGAGGTGAATTTAACACCCATGGGTTATGACACTTTAAAAGCCCACATGAGGTCTAGGATTCCACCTGCTGATGCGTTCATGCCATGTAACGACAACATGCACAGTGTGTTATTTCTCTACTCTGGGGATGACCGGCCGGGAGTGATGGTGATATAAATGTACGGTGTATTGGACATTTGTGTATGTTTTCTTTTTAAATACGATATGTTAGGCAGTTGCTGTGTCCGCTCATGTAAAATTAATTTATTATTATAAATTATGGAACGCTCTGCCCGCACACCTACGGTCCGCTGACTCTGTACTCTTTTAAATGTCAAATTCCTGTTTGGGCAGGCGTTTGGGTAACTTGTGTGCTTTTATTCTATTTTATTCTATGTTCTTATTGTGTATTGTGTTTTTATTGTGTATTTATTGTGTATTGTTTTTTTTTCACAATGTATTGTGTTTTTAGCACTTCTTCATTCGTATGATATTTTAATGCTTTGTCAAGCAGTTTGTGACTATGTCTGTGAAAAGCGCTTTATAAATGAATTTGACTTACTAAAAGATATGGTAACATAATATGGGATGGATAATGTTGATGCAGTTTACTGATTTGATCAACTAAACTACATTTCAGCTTGTGCCTGCGACGCACATCATGTTAGCTTTGATGATTTAGTAATGTATCATTTATATTCATCGCTATAGAAAATCCATCTACATGGAATAAAAATGTTGCTTTAAAAAAAGCTCCACATCAGACAAGAAAGCCAGAGGGCACAAAGTGCACTCTGGCTGTTCTGTATACACCCAGAGTCTGGCTCTTTCCTCGCCTCTACAAGTTCGCTATTCTGGTGATTCACTCTGTGCCACAATTGTAAAATCACACAAAGTCGTAGTTGAGCACTTATGAACATGTTGCACTCTTCCTGGTTTCATTTGAACTGGGTTATTTTCTTCCCAGATCATGTTAAATTGTGAACAGCAAAACCATTTTAAGATTGAAAAGAGGAGAGCTACTTACCTAAAGTTAGCAGTCCTGCTTGGCTAAATAAAAGAACAGTTAACTAACTCAATGCGTTACATTATGATGAGTTACATCTCCATTTGGTAAAAATAGATGATCTTGCATGATGCGTCTCAACATATTTACTTACATAGGCACTGCGATGTGGGAAGGCTTACACTACATTTCAGACTTTATCGACAGATTAACATAAAATGCAAGCAGGGATGTTGAGGAAACCATATTATGGCTGTTGGCACGGGGGTAGAAGAACATCATGTGGAAATAACGGCATGTCATTGTCACCTGTATGTATATATGCCGTGTGTGTGTGTGTGTGTGTGTGTGTGTGTGCGTGTGTGCGTGTTTTGGCACAGCCACTAATAATATGGCTTGAGGCTTACACCTAATTACATCAATGGGAGAAATGCTCTGACAGATGCTTCTTGTCTTTTTAGGGTTTTTCAGACATAGTAGTTATATGCTAACCAAATTAAATCTGGAAACCCTTTTGAAGACATTTATCACACACATTGATCTACATGTTTTGTTTATTGTTCTTATTTAAATTCAAAGTCAAAGTAGATCTGGTGATGAACAGAGAGATTACGTTAAATGGGGATTTAATTGGATACGAGCTGCCATCCTTTATTTGACTGTATGCTGCCTGACAGCATTATCTTTGGATGTTTACATTAAAATCCCATTTACATTTCCATTTACTTTCACAATGAATTTTTCTGCAGGGTTATAAGGACCCCCTGTGTTAGACTCCTGCCATGACACCCCTGTACAGTGAAGTAGAGTTATTACAACCTATTCGCAGTTAGCTGGCTGACTCGCTGGAACTAATGCTGTCTGATTGAAGCAGCCTTTCATGAAATCCTCCCTTCATAAATGTTATAATCCTTTTGGGTTGAAACGTAATGTATAATGTTTTACTGACAGATGTTCTATTATTTCGTCCGCCCAATTTGTATAATCGGGGAAGACTAAAAAAAGGAAACGGCATTATTATGCATTATGTGAGATCCTCCAAGTGTGGACATTTAACAGATTGACTACATACAGCTACATGTGAAAGGCTCACCTTCTTCATATTGTTCCTCCTGGATGTAGGCCTCGGCTCTGTCTTTCAGCACGTTGACGTTCTCCGGGTCTGATTTGAGGACTTCGCCGCACACTGAGACCGCTCTGCTCGTCTGCTGGCCCTGCACAACACGCCAAGACAACACGCTGGTTAGATGGGTTATTTAAAGAGTGAGGTAATGCGTCTCATGGAAGCAGTAAGGGGTCTTACCTGAGCCAACGCATGACACATGCGCTCCTTGGCAAGGAGAGATAAATGGTGCACGTTGGGCTCGGTCTTCATCACGGCTTCATATTTGCTCACTGCCTCTTCATACCTGAAAGAGCAGGAAGCAGATGGGTCTTTGAACAACGCTGTGTTACACTGTTGATACGGCAACATGGATCAGTGCACCCACAAACATCATGTTATTCGCTGTTTAGTATTCTGAATATAAAATCATATTCATGTCACCTATGACATGACATCTATTCACAATAAGATGGGATTTGCATGCTTGTTTATAAAATCTGAGAATCTGTGCTGAGGGAGAGGAAGCAGTCATTTTGCAGCTGATGCAATACATGGTATTCAGAGATTTGTTTGTATTTACAAGGATATACCATTCCTACACACACACACACACACCTCTGCTCTTGGATGAGTTCCTCTGCAGACCGGATTTGTTTGTTGAGCTTCTTGACCTGCTTGTAATGACTGTAACACTGTTTGTGATCAGGATCAAGCTTCAGGCACTCGCGCACCTCACTGCAAATCAGACGAGAGGAGGAGGGTCATAACAGGCCATTTCTATATTACCTGATGTACGTGCGATATTACCAACTCATAGATAGATAAAAGATACAGTAACTAACACTTAATTGGAAATATAATTCTGCCATGTTTTATTCTTAAAGAAACACTAGTAATAAAGAAGTTATCTCATAATCACACTTTGTTAAATCCTAGCTCTTACTATCCTGGTCACAATGTCTAAGGTGTCACAAATAAAAGAGCAGTCTGCAATTGGGTCTTACTTTAGGGACATCTCATGGTCTCCAAGATTATAGTAGATGATGCTGAGTTTGTAGAAAGCCTGGGTGTTGTCATTCTTTAACTTGGATGCAGCTTTGAGGTCACTGACGGCTTTCCCCATCTCTCCCATTTCAATAAAACACTCTGCTCGCATCTCACGAGAGGTCACATCCCAAACGCAGGTCTGTAACAGGCAGATGATATCTCTTACAAACTACTGTACAACTCTGCAGCAATGATAACACAGACAATGTCATACTTTCCGGAAAGTGACGCTACGCCGACAAGATAGGTATCTTACCTCAATGATAGTGTCAAGCTGGGCGGCAGCTGTCACATAATCCTGGCTGCTGTAGCTCCTGTGAGCCTGAGCCACCAGTCGCTGCATTTCATCTGACTTTGTCAGCTGACTTTTGGCTTCTCCCTCCTCTCGGTCGCTAGGGCTGGAGTTCAGCTGGAATATTGCAAAGCTAGACAATAAATTACCTACTTGTTGTCATGATAACATAACTGAGACAAGTTAGAGTGACTGTGGAAAATTGTATTCAGTCCTTAACAACATATTCCAATTTGAGGTTCTTCCTTTGCTTTGCCACTTCAAAGCATTGCCTATCACAGCATTAGCATCCCTAAACCAAACACCTTATAACCATCCTCATCATAGAGATCATTATATTTATAAGAGCAATCACATCTAACTACATATCCTTTACAATTGAACCTGGGAACCCTTTAAGTTTTTCCTGAATAGCATAGTAAAAAGTGTAATGCCTAAATGTGCATTAAGCTTTGCCAATGATGGGGCCGGCTGAAGGACAGCACTCACCTCTTTCCAAATGCTTTGACATTATATCTGAAAATATTGCCCATGTAAAACTATAAAATCTCGGAATGGCCTCTCCTGAAAATGTGGCTCTTTGCCTTCTGGAGAAGACAGTAAGACAGGACTAACACTTAAGCTTCAGACATATTAACACATTTTAGTTTTTTTAATTATGTTTATCTGTCTGTTCAATAAAAATAAATATAAAGGAAAGGCCCATCACATGCCCTTGGCACAATGTGACACATACATTCACATCCTATTCCCTTATAGAAGATAAACTGAACTTTTGCCTGCACCATTACCTCACCTGAGAATACTGCAGCTTTAAACTGAATCCAAGAAGGAATAGTAGATATAACAAGGGCATGTACAGTATGTCTTCTGGGAGTGTTCTGTGTAAATATGGTGATGCTAAAGGAAAATACATTAGCACGCTCCAGGCTTAATCCTCAGCAAGCACCTTAAAGATCATCCCTGAGGGCCTAAATCAGTGTTCACTGCCAATTTAGTTATAATCCACTTGTTTTTAAATAGCATATAGATGCAAGGTATCCCTTTATACAGTATACAGTAAAGTCTTATGTGGCCTATGTTTTTACTTTCTAGTTTATTTTAAAGACTGTTAAATCCATTCAGCTCTTCAATCTCTGAGGTTTTCAACCTCATAGCACAAGTGTACAATATAGTAAAATAAATAATACAAATAAAGCGTTTACAGTTCATAATACAGAAGTCAACCTCAATATCTTCCACAACAGTACAAATAAAAAAATAAAAAAATTGAATTAACCTTATTTCAAATCGAGTAGAACATATTTTACATTGAGTTTTTATGCTTGAGATTAGTTTCCCTTTAACATCAGGAAACAGTTCAACACTGACACCTCCTGGTGATCTATGCTTTTACACCAAATTGTGACTTCTTAGTGTTGTTGCTGTGGAGTTTAAAGTGGACATTCCTGTACTTACCACTGTCTTAAAGTCCCTCTCTGCTTCATCGAGTCCTCCCTGCTTCAGGAGGAGATTTCCTCTCTGGAGGCGTGCCTGTTAAGATAGGGGGAGGACATGTTTTGCATAAAGTACAGATAGACTTATCACCACAGCTGACATTACTGGCCAGTTTCCCAGCACAGCTGTGTGTCTTAACTATAACATTTGCACATATGTATATTGTAAATGCAAATATACCAGTTTCTTCCAATTGTTTGATTAAACCAATTGCTCGCACAGTTCTGCATTCTGCAGTATGAATTGAAGCTGTGCAACTATGTAAAACATATAATTTCAGACCAACTAAGGTGAAAATAGAAACTTACAGATTTGAAGTCTGGTTTGAGTTCAATAACTCGGCTCAAATCTGGCAGTGCAGACTTTGACTTCCCCATTGCTAGAAACACTGTGGCTCTCCTGTAGTACGCCATGTAGTTCTTGGAGTCTCCGTCTGACATGACATCGAAGAAAACATGGTTTAATCATATTCCCTGTTGTACAAAAATGTTACACCTTTTTTGCGTAAAGAATGTCTGCTACTTACCCACAGCAGCATGGAAATGAGAGAGAGCATCGGCTAGCTGGCCAGCAGCGAGCAGTTTCTTTCCCATCTCCATATGATTGTCCACACTCCCATCCCTGCCACATTTCACTCCTGAAAATAACACACAATACTGATATCCTGCCAGAGGTGGAAGAAGTACTCAGATCTTGTACTTAAGTAAAAGAGTGTAGGACTACCCTCTTACAAGTATAGGTCTTGTAATCAAAATGTTAATCAAGTAAAAGTACAAAAGTATTAGCATGAAAATATATTTAAACTACCACAAGTAAATGTTTTCATTATACAGTACACAATAGCCCATTTCATAATAATATATAGCATATGTTTTGATTATAACTATTGATGCATTCAAATATTATCAAAGCTGGTACAGTAAAGGTGCAGCTAGTTTGCATTCCTTTGAATGTTGCAGGGTAGATTGTGAATTGTACACACTAAAGTCTTATTTAAGTGTTAATTGTATTTCACATCATTAAACAAAATCTGTAAAGTAACTGAAGGTATTAAGGGTATTACATGAATATGTATTGTAGTGGGGTAGAAGTACAGAGTAGCAAAACATTAAATTACTCCGGTACAAGTTTCTCAAAATGTTATTCAAGTACAGTACTTAAATCTACTTAGTTACTTTACACCACTGTATCCTGCAACACAATACGGAGCATATTGCCACAGAGCAGTAAGTACAATACAGTTCTCCATTCTTAATGTATTCATGTTCATTGCCTCTGACATGCGGTACCATTAGCATAAGTCAGTAGCGTTGAGTGACAGAGAGGTTACTTTGACATGTAGGCTAGGTTAAGCTAGCTGTCATACTTTGTGAGTTAACGATAGGTCAGCTTACACAAAGACAATACCATTAACAAGCTAACGTTGCAAAGGTGCAATTGATTGTTCAATCACGTATAGGTTAAACGTTGTTTAACTAATCAGCTAAAAACGACAACAACACAAGTGATAAGCTAGCTCAATGTTAGCCAACTGATATCGATTTTACTAGCTAACGTTACCATTGGGATGACTATAAACAGTTTGAATACAAGCAGGCTGTCTAAACTGTGTTTAAAGTTATATGCTAGTTGCCAAGTAAAGTATAACGTTATTCAGGTCCTTACCTTCATATCTCAGGTCAATCAAAACAAGAACATATGGGATGTAAGTCAGTACTTTGTGAGCAACATGGTCGATGGAAACCATGGTTAGATGTGCATCAGACAGGTCCAATCCCGCTATGTATCACACTTCAGCCGATCTTATTTTAAGTAATGTCTCACTTAATTCTCCACAGTCCCATGTGTTGACTGCTATTGAGCATTGCTTCTCCTTTCCCAGTCACTCACAGTGGGGCAGCAAACGAAAGCGGCCGGTCGTGGGGGACTGTGATTGGCTGGATTGTTTAGAAAGCCCCGCCCACCTCTGTTGGTTCAACTGAGAGGAGCCACGGCAGCACAAGATATGTCATCATTTTGTGTGTGTAATGTATTTGTGTGTGTGTGTGTGTTGGGTTTAGTACATTTGTGGGTCCCACTCAGGATCAGGCAACTGTTGTGGGGACCAATATTGAGTGATGGCGAGATTAAGCCTTATGAAGCTTTGAAGCCAATTGGTTCGCAAAAGGGTTCCCCCATATACTGTAGGGTTCACCTCATGAGGCTTCATTTGAACACAAACCCCCCTCTTAGTCAACGTGTGTAAAACAGGCAGATATGACATCTCAACAGTGTGATCTTTCTTATACCGAGTTCCCAATGAGTAAAGCCTTAGAATAACTCTAAACAAGTTACAACGAACATGAAATCATATTTTCATGTAATCAATTTGTATCAATATTGTACAGGCCATAAGAATATAAAACACCGGAACTTTTTAAAGAACATCCATAAACATTCATCTGTTTTCATTTTGCTAATTATTTATCTGATATCCATTTACTTGTATATAGACTCTTTTTGCACTATTTCTTTTTTATTTGTATTAACTTGCACATCTCAAAACATTCTCTTGCACTATTGTATCTGTTTTATTTGTTTTATGTCCTATATTCATGTTGCGCTGTTGGAGGACCCTGTGACCTACGTTTGTCATTGCCATATCTACACTGTAGCTACTGTGCACATGACAATAAAGCCTTGAATCTTGAAACTTGATATATTCCAGTTAAATTATTGTGATTAAAAAGCCTAAGGAGGCTGGAAAACATTGTGAAGAGGGATTTTTATTCTTTAATAATATTCATAAACTTAACCATGTTATAGCCTCAGAAAGGCTAAACAACATCAAAGAATACATTTATTAACTACATTATTACATTTAGCTGTAGCTTTTATAAACCAAAAAAAGACATAGACCGGTTGTTGAACACGGGACCCTGCGATTGATAGTCAACTGCCTTCCAGCTGATCCACAGCCCATGCTGATCTACCTGAAAACACTGTAGCCTTACTTCACTCTTAGTATACTTTGTCTTAGTTAAAATGTCATGAAAGGACATTTTTGCATTGTAACGGACATGTACTTAAAAGGTAAAATACTATTGTACAGATTATAAACTTGAAGGTAGAAGCTTTTAATGGAAGATAATGTTATAATGTAAGATAATAAGATGTTAATGCAATATGTGGGTGTGACTTTGGTTCAAGGGGCTCAAGGGTGTAAATGGATGTCTTCCAACCTGAGGGTCAGTGGTTCAACTCCCAGCATGCTCTAATATTTTTGTTATTTTACCTACTTGAGCTGCCAGGGAGGAGTTCTTGCAAGTTCTTTAAAAATAAAAGCTCATGCAAACTCTTGTAAAAACGTTTTTAATTGTGGTGTAATGAAATGGAAAAAGGTAGAAAGACATTTAGGCTTGATTCCAGTTTTTCCTAAAGGACATATTCAGATAATCAAGTCCAATTCTAACCCTAATATATGAAAGAGCCCAGCTGGTAACAAATTATGAAATACATCTGTGTGTATTTGGCGCAAGGAGTAAATGGATACCTACCAATGTCGGGGTGGAATGATTATGGAAATAAAGAGGCTGTGGCAATGAAGTGAGATAAATAAAAAAGTTTGGTAAAGTTAGACAGAAACAGAGGCTTAAGTCTGGTTTTATCTTTTAAAGACCTGGAAAGGGTTATTAACGCCTTTGTTACCTCGAGGTTGGACTACTGCAACGCTCTGTACGTGGGTATGGACCAGGCGTCAATTAAACGCCTGCAGCTAGTCCAGAACGCAGTTGCACGTCTACTCACTGGCCACAAAAAGCGTGACCACATCACCCCAATTCTGGCCTCACTGCACTGGCTTCCAATTCGGTTCCGAATTGATTTTAAACTCCTTTTATTTGTTTTTAAAGCACTAAATGGGCTGGCTCCGGCCTATATAGCCGAACTCCTCCAGCGCTACACCCCAGCCAGAGCTTTAAGGTCTGCTGACCAGCTGCTGCTGATAGTGCCCAAGACCAGGCTTAAAACCCGAGGGCACCGAGCCTTCGCAGCAGCTGGCCCTAGGCTCTGGAACACTCTGCCCCTCCATGTGAGGTCGGCCCAGACCCTAGGGGTTTTTAAATCTACTCTTAAAACACACTTCTTCTCCCTGGCCTGTTAGTCAGAGCGGAGCACGACTCCTGACTTTTCCCTGTGTTTTTTATATATCTGTTGTAATTTATTGTCTTTTATTGTGATTGTAGTAATGTGTTTTTATGTGATTGTAGTATTTATTACATGTACAGCACTTTGGCCCGACCAAAAATCGCTTTTAAATGTGCTTTATAAATGTGCTTTATAAATGTGCTTTATAAATAAACTTTGATTTGATAAGTCCAGTTTTTTAATGACATATTCAGGAAACCCAGCTCCACACGTCCTGGTAGCCTTGGGTTTTTCTGAACTTAAACGTCCTGGATTACTCGAACCACGCTCTGAAGCCTCGGCCCAGTACGTAACATCATTACCAATATGCTGGTTAACAATTTAGAGTTTAGATACAGACATTTTTGTAGAGACATCCCTGATGTGCATGGTGGTTCTAATTAAGCATACAGTAGGAGCATAGTATGTGCCATTTAAAAACAGTGTTCAAGTAAATGCACTTCGATACTTTCCATCATGACAATTAATACGAATGATTTCAATTCTGATGATGGTCCGGGGGAAACAAAGTGTAATATATAAATATTTTTTTCAGCGTGTTATTGCAAATTTCCAAAACATCTTACAATATTTATGATATGTTAATATATACATTGTTCAAACTATTTATTTGATAAATAGTTCACTACAACAGCAACATATCGAAATAACTAATACACAGATTTTGGGACACAGAGCCATTCCTTATTTGTGAATGTGTCTGCGGTGGAAAACATTTTATAATTTAAAATAAATCTAATGATAAGCCCAACCATGTATTTCATCTTTTTTTCAACCTTTGAAATAAAGTCATACATATGCATTTGTGGCGGATGTGGATGTGGTAGAAGTAATCTCGGAAATCCTGCTCCCAATACTATCACTGGTGGTGGTCCTTGATTTTCTTCCATAAGATGTCGCTGTAATTGCCACAGACGCAATACTCTTTTTTGTTGCAACACTTCTGTAGTCCTTAGGCAACTGGTAGTCAGGGTATTTTTTAGGACTGCAAGGTTCAAAGTCAAGAAATAGATGGTTATTTTTTTCTGGAAATAATCAAATGATGGAGAAAAAAACAAAGTATACAGTGGCAGCATTTTACCTTGAGTCGAATCCTTCCCTCCCTGCAAAGATACTGTAAATAAGGCCTCCAACAACAAGTAAAGTGGAGCCTCCCCAGCCAATAAAGACACCAACACCTATTTCAAACCTGGCAGTTCATACAAGAAAAGTATATTAATGTACATTTCTTTCTTCATAGATTAATGTTATAAATGTTGATATTTGAAATAAGGCGAGTTTGTAGTTATCCATGTCACTTAAAAATAATACGTACTTCTGAGCTTTGTAGTTTGGGTCCTGAAATTCTGCTCTGATTTTGTTTCCATAGTAAGAGAAAGCGGTCATTGAACACAGACCTGAAATATAAAAAATAAACTACATTATTAATCTTGAGATGAATAATGTAGTTTATTGTTAAATGACTTAAAGAGGTCTATGTAAAGTCTTACCTCCGATAAGGTAGTTCATTCCACCAGCAAAGGTTACTCTTGCATTAACAATCTCTGATCCTCCAACTTTAGTGCACTTCATTCCCACCAGGACCAGCACTGATCCAAAAAAAGCCAGGATAATAGAGATGATGATGAGAGCACGGCACATATGTATGTCCCCTGTCCAAGGACAACAAAAAAACAATATTATGCATACATGACAAGATGCAGTTACAAAAGATTAAGGATCTTTTTTTATTATTTATCATATTTTATCATTTTACTTACAGTTTAGTGCAAGCATTGATGGAATTCCTTTGCAGTCAGAAACTCCAGTTGAATCAGATATACAATCCTTCCACAGGTTGGAGAAGTAGTTTGAAGTGGTCAAGACTATGCTGTCTACCTCAGACCATGTCCAGATCTCTGTGGGCATGGTGGAGCACACCAGGATCCATCCAAATACACAGACAATAAAGCAGCCAATCTCCATGTACATCACCACAGTCCTGTAACTCATGCTTGCCTTGAAGTTGAGTCTCTAGGCAGAGAAAAAGCAAATACTAGCAATGGCACAGCAGCTCTTGAACACTGCTGAAACTGCGCACTGTGTTTCCAGCACTAAAGGGAACACACACACACACACAAACACACACACACACACAAACACACACACACTTGCACAAACCACACAAACAGGCCCAACTTGGTTTGTGTACATCATCACATGCTATGCCTTGAATTGTGATTCCAATGTTTTGTGACCGTCACTAAGGTCATGTGTTTGTTGTTAGTACAATACACCTGCCATCATCAGCTTATCAATTCCACAGAATAATAATAGTTCATTAAGAATATGTTGGCACATCATGACAAGGACTTTCCTGATAAATATGATTATATAATACACAACATTTGTTATTGTTAATCTAAAAACGTAACATGCAATTAAAAGCTGTCAACTCTGCTATGAAAATAAAGGAGTTAAGGAAGGTCATACCTGGATATAGTTCATATATATATATTATTGTGCTTACTCTAAATGTGTTCTCCATGTTAGTATCAAGAAATAATAAACGCACAAAACATTTCTGTAATTTAAACGGAAAAACTTTGAAATATGGAACCTATCCTGCTCACCTAATTATAGTCAGTTCAGTCACACAGTTCTTGTTGTGTGAATTGTGTGAATAGATATTACACAAACTATTCACCTATACTCACCACTAAGTAAGAAATGTACACCAGCTAAAGCAGGCAATTCTGGCTTTGTTTTTGTCAGTTTCGCCAATGTTGGTGCATTTAATTCCAACAAGGACTAGTGTTGAAACAAAAAATCCCAAACAGATAGCTGAAATCATCAATCCCATGCATGCTTGTGCAATGCAGTCAGGGTTTTGCATTTCCTCCATTTTCTCATCAATGGGTTACTGACCTTGCAACACCTAAAGCCAGACACATATCTTGTCACAAGCAACCCTAATTGTTTTCAGGCACTTTGCAGTCACTCTCTTGTCAAAAGGGTCCCATTCATATTACCTTGAAAATGAACATTGTGAAACTAGTGAGCCATGGGAGAAACCGCCCGAGGCTCCTGCTGAATCTCTTTTATAGCTTTCAAGCTTCAACACTTACGTATCTGGAAGTGAACGAGTTGTTCCTTAACTCATTAGGCCTTAGGATATCTAAGTGCTGAGTAATAATGAGCTTCAATTTGAATTAGAGCTGAGGTTGAACACTTTTAAGACACTTGAAAACTGGGGATTGATCTGCAGCACTCGACCAAACATAAAAGTGTAAAAAAACCTAATGCCTGTAAGGCTTTCTGATGACAGAGTAAATAACATATACAATGGAGAACTCATACAACCCCAACTTAAAAATGCAATTCATTTCATCCATTTAAAGGTGGCGTAGGTCATTTTGGAGAAACCAGCTCGAGTGCGCTGGAATTTGAAAATACACAGCCGGAAAAAATCTGCCACTTCCTTACAGAGCCCCTCCTCCAACACACACGAACGCGCACATGACCAATGAGGGCACGAGATAAGTTTGTACACAGATGGAAGGCTGACAGGCAGGTAGGCCATCCAGTTATTTTAGCCGGGCCGGCTAAAATGATTGGTCATGCTTTTTACAGTACTACGGCTTCCACAGATGAAAAATTGTTATGGATTTTTTGTCAAAGCACTTAAGATATTCATTGCTATCGGGATGTTAAAACCTGTTTCACGCCTTCCCCCCGGTACCGGGCGGATAAACGAGTCATTTGCAGGAAACAACGTCTAAGGAATCTTAATATTGAATAAAACTATGAATGTGTTAAATCCATGTAACGGGAAGAAACTCAGCTAACTGATCTTTTTAATTTTTTTTTTCAAAAAAAACCCACAATGCTAGCACTCAGTCTCTGAATTAGCCTCGATCGAAAAAACGGGACCGACAAAGACACATAAACTCACTCAGAACTCCCTTATTACTTATCCTAGATGCACAACCAAACACTATTTTTTGGTGTCCTGGAGACACTGAATCTAACGGTGCCCACCTCAACACTCAGTGATAAACATTCGCGACGCTATCAACGAAAGCGTACATCATCACATGTGGAGCTAAGAAGCTAAACACGTAAATATATCTTACCTTGGTCAAAAGTGGTCTTCAATGGCATTAAAACGATAAAAAAACGATGCTGCAGTTAATCCATAGGTTCATCCTATGTGTCTGTGCCTTCTTTGAAATTATTTCTGATAATCCATAAACAATACAACTGCGTTTTAGTTTCCAAACTCCAGAAGGAGACATTCCTCCAGTTTAGTTTCGCTTTCCACACGCGAAGCGGCAACATTTTTTCTTTACAATGTGTGTCTATGTAAGTATCCTCCTTCGATTCTATTGGCTCTAACGGTCACAAGGGTATGTCAACCAACCAGATCGAGCAAGGGGGGCCAGAGATAGGTCAAATCCACCCAAATGACCCCAGATGGCCCAGTTTTTGGCTAAATCTCTCTAAAAAGGTCAAATTTCACTTGTTTTGCATCAATCTTGATACAGGGTACTTATTATATGTTGTACTTTGGATTCCTAAAGCTTTTAGTCTACTAACCCATCATCCAAGGGTAGTTTTCACTATCTGTAAAAAATAATTTTTGGACGGACACTATAATTTACAGTTTTTTACTATGTAAAATCTGAATTTTCTTTAAAATAAAAAACATTTATATTGATTCTGACACTTCTACATCCAACTCACAGGTTTATCATTACTTTGAGAAAAGATTATTAATTTAACCCTTTTAGAAGGGAAGATATGGTCATTTGTTCTGGGAATGTCATTTTCGAGCCTGAGACCTGAAAAACAGGCTCAGAGTGGAACAGGTTAAGAGCATTCCATGGAATATAACAAAAAGTGTATCTCGTACCGGTTTCTCAAACTTACCTACCCCACCTTTAATATCCGCTTTTAAACAAAAACAGATACAAAAACAGAAAATAAATGTACATGTTTTGGCAAAAAACCTTAAAAAGTATTAAACAAGCATTCAGAAATAAAGGAAACAAATACCGGAGTATCAAGTGCCATCATGGACGGAAAGTCTTTGCAGTCAGAGACTCCAATAAAATCGAAAAGATCTTCCACAGATTAGAAAAATGTGTAACTGTGGTAACTACTGTTCCATCAAGTGTAGATAACTGCCAGTATTCTGTCGGCAAGGTGAAAGACACCAGCACCCAGCCTGAAATGTTTCAAACAAAGGCCCAGATCTCCAGATACATTCTGATCATTCTGCAGAGAGGATTTCTGCACACGATTGTGCGACAGCCAGTTGATGAGACTTGAAATTGATGAATTGCTCCCTTGCCAGTAAGCGTGTTGAACATGTATGCTCTTCAGGTTTAATAGATAGGCTGTGATTGAAAGTTAATGTATTGGACTGTTATAGGGAGGAGTTTGACCGTCAACATCAACAAGTGGCCAATAGTCTATTATCATCCAGTACAAGTCACTTTGACTCCATGTCATATAATGGTTTTTTAAGCTCTAGGATGTTATGCAAATGTAATAAACTGTGTACAAACCAAGCAATGCTCACTTTTGTGTGTGTCTTTTAGTGTGTACCTTTTTTAGTTGGCATATAAACTATGATGGGTATGGGGTCCAATACTTAAATTAAATAATGTAATGCAACCCTGTTTTGTTGTTGTTTTCTTTACAGTAAATAAAAACGCTGGTCAAATATTTAACCTAAAAAAATGCATCGTACAGTATTTTGCATGTATACGTGTTGTGAGCCAAAGGTACATTTTACAGTGTTTCTGGTCGTTTGCATCAAAAACCATGGACAATATACAATAAAGAAAAACATTTAAATTAATAATACTCATATGGTGAAAATGTCTTGTTTATTATATACATATGTTTAGATATTCAAGACACATTATAACTTTTAATATGTTCTTTGTTTGAATCACAACGAAGTTAACACACATGATGAGTAAACACAGGGCAGTGTATTTTAAACAGAGTATGACCTGTTTTACCAAAAGAAAACATGAGAAACAACTGAATTAAAATTATACATGGTGCATGGAAAATAAAGCAGAGGGTTTTATCATTCTATCTGTATGTCATAACCTGATTGCTAGTAAATCCCATTTCGAGGTAACATGTCTTGTGAAGTTTGCATGTTTGTGTTCAAATAAAACTGTACATAAAAAATAGCTTTAAACTACTATACAAATGCGTCTCTTTCTGAGAGTTTCGTGGGTGTTGTCTGTGACAGCTTTGAGATTCTGGAGCTGTTGGACGGTCGTGAGCCCATATAAGATCCATACTGCATGGGTGGTTTGTAGTATCCGGTGTACAGGGTTCTTCCTCTGGAGCGAGGGGCCATGTATGTTCCTCCTCCATATGCGTATACTTGCCTGAAAGATCAAAACATTGCCAAAATGTATTACATGGTAGGAATTCAGCAGGCACAGGAAATGAGTGAAGGTGGAAGAATATTTAATTGAATGAAATACCTTTCAGGGAAAATGACTCGGTAGACTGTAACAGCGTAAAACAAAGCCCCTAAAAGAATTAAAAAACATCCCACCAATCCTAGAAAAATGGGAGGTCCTAGGTCATACCTGGAATTGGTTCAAAAGGAAGACAAACGTCATGATAAATTGTACATACTGTCCATATTGTAATATTTTTCTATAGAATTAAAGCAATACTCTTATAAAGTTGTCAATTTTATGATGAAAATCAGTGTACCGTAAGACTCCCGGACCAACAGTGGCAGCAAAGGTTGTCCTTGCAACCCTGTTTATGTATAAGCAGTAGCCAGAAACATCTGACACACCTGCATGCAGAGGTTTCGTTGGTATTAAGAAATAATGATGACAAAACACTTATTTCATTTACAGAGGCAAACACGTGTTTGTTTTGTACTCACTGCCAGCAATATGAAACACTGCTCCAGCAAGAAGAAGTTTGTCCTTGGTTTTCTCAGCTCCTCCAATAAAAGTACACTCCATACCAAGAAAGCAAAATACTATTGCGAAGAACCCAAGAGTTAACCCGCACATTAGTAATCCTCTCACTCCCTGGACATAAGCTTTGAGAAACAGAAATAAATTGTTCAAGTTAGAAAACAGTCTTACTGTACAATTCTGTCAGACACAAAATAATCTAGAATTGAGGATAAATACTATATCGTTTCTGCTTTTAATATTTGTCAAGGCTTTGATCCAGGCAATTCACACAAAGTAAGGAGATAATGTTAAATCATGGATAATGTTATGCCTAAAGATGGGATGACAATAGCACAAGTAAAGAATCCCAAAATCAGCTAACTGACCCAGTAATGTTACAATACTGTATGTACATGACAATATCAAGCTACAGTTAGCAAACATTAGAAACCAAACCAAATGGTCACACTATATCAAATAAAGCTGCAAGGGGGCAGGTGGTTGCTTATAGAAGTTCAACAATTAACTTCTAATACAAAGATTGTATTATTTCATCTTTCTAAAGTCAATTAGTCTCACTTCAGGCAATGGTGTTACTCAGTTTCATTGAGACCACTTACCTATAACTGTGTTCTGCTATGAGTATCAAACTATGGATCTGTTAATCACTTTGTTAATTCAAAGAGAAAGACTTAAAAATATCGTATTGCTAATGCAACATGTGGAGAACTTACGGGTCACACTCCAGAGCACGGGGAAGTCTCTACAGTTGGTGACAGCCGTGGAGTCTGTGAAACAATCCTTCCACAGGTTGGACCAGTACCAGGCCACTTTGATGATAAAGGAGCCTCCTTGTCCTCCTATTTGGACGATTCTCCAGTAGTCCATGGCCATGGAGCAAAGCACGAACAGCCACCCCAGTGATGACATCAAAAAGCCAAGCACTTGGATCAGACGCTTCTTCATTTCTGAAATCACTAAATTAACCAGGTATCTACCACTCAGTTGAACAGAAGCAGAAAACACATTTAACGTCTACTCTGTGGGGCAAAGGATGATGAGTGGTTTCCTGTTTCAGGACAGGGTGACATTGTGTGTTTGCCGTGTGCCATTAGTGTTGATGAGGGCACTGTGCAATTGGGTGAGATGTTTACTGTCAACTTGCTGGAGTGTGCTGACCGCTTTAGGTGATTCACACCAACTGCTGGTTTTTTGTTTCAGGTTTATATCCAGCAATGAATGCTAAAAGTACATTTCATTTGTATTTACAGTATTTTGTTTCTAAAACACACATATTTTTGTGTCCAAAGTGTTATTTTCAAGAATCTTCTTAAGAGAAGATAACACAAAAGTACAACACTGCTGCCCTCTTCAGTCTGCTGAAATTCAAATGTATCTTTTATTCTTACTCACACACTTTTATATAAAATTGATACACATTTCAATCAGAAAATACCATGATGCTGTCCTTTCCCGACCTTCTTCATGTTAGCTTGGAGTATTACAATCCTAGTCACAGGAAAATCTGTGTTTTAAACACTTTATAAATATTTTCACAACAGATTAACTAAAAGTTAAAGATACAACCAGCAAAATAAATGTCTTAAAACACACTTTATTTCCAAATACATTAAAAAAAAGAATATGCAATTTCTCAACATCAGAGAGTAAACTGTATCATACTACTATGAACTACTGGCCCCTGGAAGAAACACTAATGAGTATTTGTAATGTAATGTAATTCCTAATGAGCTACAGATTAATCTCAGTACATTTCTGTGCTATTAGACAGAAACCACCATGTTTCATAGTATGCTGTATCTTTTACATAGTATAGATTACATATTTTAAGACTCATTGGTGTCTTCAACTTCAAGTGTTTTATATTCACATCCCTCACACATAAACATTCTTATCAAAGTGCTCCATCCTGGAGGAGTTGCTGTAGTCTGGGGGCGGCCTCTGGGTCACAGGCTTTGCCTGCCCTCTCGGGTAGGAGGAGATATGAGAAGCAGTACTTTTGTAGATATAGTTTGCCTGTCTGCGGCTGTGAACAGACAGAAAACAGATTCATCTACATAACTCAAACACCGACATGGCTCAACTAAATTGAATAATACATATATACTGTATAATGTTAACATTATTAATAACAGTTGGTGTTACCAAAACAAACCTCTTGGTAAAAGAACCTGCGATGGAGAAACAGAGCATGGTGCCCCCGAGGATACAGAGGATAGAACCTGACCAGCCAATGAAGAGAGCGGCTCCAAGTTCATACCTGCAGACAAACACTGATGCTTAATGATCATTAAAGTGGTTAAGTTACAATAAAACAGTCACTGGGTGTCAGACAGTTCTTACTTCTGTGCAACAAACATTGGGTCAAAAAACTCTGATGTAATCCGGTGAGCATAAAGGGAGCATGATGAAAGTGAGCAGATGCCTAAAAAGAACAAGAAAGAAAAGGGAATGTAACTACATCAAAAAGGAAAAAGATACAGATATTCCATAGTACATTTGACCATACTTACCACTTAAAAGGAAATTTACACCAGCAAAGCAGGCAATCCTGGCTTTGTTTTTGTCGGTTCCTCCGATTTTGGTGCATTTCATTCCAACAAGAGCAAATGTGGAACCAAAAAATCCCAAACAAATGGCTGAAATCATCAGTCCTCTGCAAGCTTGGATGTAGCCTGAAAATGGATAAAATGAAGGTCAACCTCTGTGCAAAGTGTTCTTTGGTTTTGCGTTTCCTCTACTTTCACAACGGCACACTGAAAGGTCAATGGGTTATTGAACTTGTGATCAATATACACATAAAGCAAGGAAAACAATTTGTCAAGTATCCCTAATTGTTTTCAGACACTTTGCGGTTACCCTTCTGGTATAAAATGTCCCATTCAGATGTGATTTTGAGGCGAAGATTACCTTGGAAGTTAACCCCTAAAACCAGTCAGCTGTGGAAGAAACCACCCGAGGTTCCTAGTAAATCTCCTTTATAGCTTTCAAGCCTCAAGAGCGGGGCTAAACATTGACATATTTGAAGGTAAATGAGTTGTTCCTTGAATAATAAGCCTTAGGGTATCTATTAGTCCTGAGTGGCAATGAGTTTCAACAAGTAGGAACTGAGGTTGAACAGTTATATGGCACAGAAATCAGAAAATAAACCTCAACCTGATTGACCAGAAAAGGAAAACTAAGAATCAAATAAGAAAGGGAAAAATGGCCGACCATCCAGTGCCAGCATCGAGGCAAAGTCTTTGCAGTTGGAGACTCCAGTTGAATCGGTGACGCAGGTCTTCCAGAGATTCGACCAGTAGGTAGCTGTGGTGATAACTGTTCCATCAAGTGAAGAAACCTTCCAGTAGTCCGTCGGTAAGGTGGAGGAGACCAGCACCCAGCCCGAAGTGCTTAAAATATAGGCCAATATCTCCTGAAACATGCTGCTCTTTCTGCAGAGAGGACTCCTCCACTCTGCTGTGTGACGGCCAATTAGGTTAGTGAGACCTTCAATTGCTTAATGGTTCCCTTGCTAGTAAAGCTTGTTAACAATGTAGCTAAACTCTGCACCAGTAAGTTCAATGGATCGGCTGTGATTGATAGTTAATGTGTTGTGGACTGTTATATTCTGTGGGAGGAGTTTGGCCTTAAACATCGACAAGTGGCCAATGGTCTATTTTCCTCCAGAGCACGTGACTGTGACTCGCTCTCATAGATGATGGGGACTGAATGTTCTGGATGTAGAAAGTATTATGACGACATCAGAAATGACTTTTAAAATGTATTAATTGTTTGCTCTGTGTGATCTTTTACTTAGGTATAGTAGCAATACCGCTGTGTAGAATAACTGTGTAACAACTAAATATAGTTTTTTTAAAAGTATACATGCACAGAAGTACTAGCATTAAGGTATACTTAAAGTTGCAAAAGTTAAACTTATTATTTATGCATTATCGTGCTTAAAATAATAATAACACATGATGTTTGTTGATTATATCTGGCATTAAAAATGTGCATCTGAATCTTCACATATTTTTGATTATTTTGGGAATTAAATAAAAAACAGTTTCAAGAAACCAAAGATACAGATCAAACATTTGCGATGGGATACAGGACAGTGAATTTGACCCTTTGACCTTTAACCTTGCACTGCCACTGACGATTAATACTCAACAAGCGAACAGTTACTTCCTGAAAGACCTAAAATAGACACAGGATTTAGATAACTTATTAACAGCATGTCACTCACTACGGTGTCCTAGCATTTGGATGAAACAAGCTTTCTGTTACATTACAGAGACATGTGTTAATCAATGGAGAAAAGGCTAAGTTCAAAAGATATGCTTTACAGATAAGAAGCAAACAAGAGGGAAATTAAGCAAAAAGGCTTTTTCTAATTTGAAAAGGAGCCCCATCTGGTGGCATTAGGCCATATTATTATAATGTATTTATTTCAACAAAGACCATGCATACAAATATATTAATCTCAGAAAAAACAAGATATGAATTATGCCAGATTATAGCTAATAGCTCATTTCCATCTGCAGTCCTCCGAGGGCGGGTACATAACAATCAACAAACACTAAAAACATTGCATAATCTCTATCACACAAACAATTATAAAACATGATTTAAGTACAGGTCAATCAAATAATACATAGTACAGTTAAAATATAATATTACAATACAGTTACAATTGAAAAACCCAGATAATGTTGGCATGACTGATTGCTTAATATACATGTTTTATTATTCATATAATGTTACTGTAAGCACACAACAATCTGTAATAGTTCTTTATTTTTTAAGGTATGCCGTAAAACAACATCTTCCTGGATTAAATGATTGTAAAGAGACATTTATATGAAGCATATTTTATCTTCAAATTAAGTTTTAAAGACAGGGAATTTGAATATTTTCAGCATATTGAAAGAAATACCAGAAAAGAAAAGAAAAGAACAGAAAAGGGGTTAAAACTATAAGTTATATAAAACGATATAACTAACTAAGCATTAAACTAATACAACTCCCTAACAAACTAGCAAAAAGAGTAACTTGTTGTGCATATCAAGGAATGTCTAATTATGGACAAAAATAACTAAATGCCCTCATTATCACGCATCAAGTGTCAAGTATGTGAATAAACAACATTACAAAGCAAGTGAATTGTTTGAATGGAAAGCAGTCTGACAATTATTTCCTTCCTGACTGGTTTGTTACTGCCAACAACAGGTCTTTGAGTGTAAACTGTGACACAGACACTCGACACTCCCAGATTGACATTTCCAAAAAAGGATTAAACATTTGCTGCAGTTAAGACCTGAGCCATAATCTGGAACTCTGTTTCTGCCTGAATTTAGTTTTTTCTAATCCTAAATTTGGTTTAAAAAAGTAGTAGATTGTGATTATATAAACAATCACCAGTCAAATATGTTGATCATTTCATTATGGAAACAGGTATACATTTTTTTTGTCTTTTTTATTTTTTAACAGATATCTGTGACCAGCGACACAATCTGAGACTCAAGATGAACATTTGTTTCATTTTTAGATTACAGAGATAATCTGATTATTTCCCTAACAAATTGAAAGAAAAGGCTTTCAGAGCCAGCCTCTACGAGAGATACTTAATAACGACCACTTAAAGTTGACTTATAAGCCACTACTTAAAAATATGCATTAGATTCATTTACACTGGGTCTAAATTCTGAATAAATGTTGCCAACAAATGAATGGTTCTTGATATAGCACATCTTTGCCTGTGAAACAAAGGTGATACATTTGTTCCTGTAGTCAAGAATATCTAGTGTACATTGTGTCATTAGGCATAAGGAACATTTCATAAAACCCCTCCACGGTATATCCCCTGCAGCTGAGTGAGAAAAGACCAATACTGTATGTGGACGCCATGAAACTCGGACCCTTACCTTCCAGCTTGAAAATAGTATGATGCGGTCTGCAGTGCAGCGCTCCAATGGCATTTCCAGCACAGTTGTTCCAGAGACCCTGGAGCACCCAGGTCGCTGTGATGACTGAGGATGCTCGGCTGGTGGCCCTCCATTCGTTCGACACCGTGGCAGCGATAGTGGCCCCCAGCCCGGCCAGGCCGCTGAGAAGAGCCAGGATCTGCAAGCTTGACATTTGGAGCTTTACGATATGTTTAAAGTCTTTTAGCAGATTCAGGAAAATGAGAAGAAATAAAATGGCCCCAGGCAGGCAAATTACACTGTGGACATGTGTTTCATTGAGATCATTAACAACCAGGAAATCTTGACCGTGTCTCTAGTGGCGAGGGATGGACACAGTCTGAAGGAAAAATCGTCAGGTATGAGCTGTCAGTTATTCATTAAATGTTGGCAAGCAGTGTTTTAAATGCACATTTTGGTCTACAAATAAGGTCAAGTACCATATTAACATAACAAAAATAAAGGAGTAATCATTAATCCACAAAAGAAGAAGAAATGTGACAAAGTCCAGTTACTGGTTCATCTATTTCTGCATAGGATTCAAGCAGTGGACTAATGATTGTCAGCTTATATGTAAACATATGTTGTTGTCACTCATGAGAGCATTGTTTTTTTAACCAAAAATAGAATAAGAAAAATAAAGCCACTAGTAAAAAGAGAGAGGAGAACAAAATCAGTTAAATTGTGTCGTCGACCTCAATAAATAAATATTACGTGAAACTGACAGTAGGAGTAGGTTGATATTTGAGAACAAATTAAGATCAAAAGTTTATTGGTAATCATTTCTAATTCAGTAAATTCAACAGAAATTGTTGTTAGGACCTTTAATGTCAAAAATCTTCATTTAGACACAAGGTTGTGAAAAATAACTCCAGTAGATGTCACTTTTCTAGGCCTACCTTCCTTGAAAAATAAATACATATGTATATCCTGAGACTGCTATCAGTCAACATTGTATATACACATATATCTGTAAAGCACAAAGAAGAAGAATAAGGGGGCTTTCACACCAACGCGGTTCCAGGGCCGGTTCAGAGCTAGAGCCTGCAAAGCACCGGTTTTTCCTGTTCACACCGCAGCGGAGCCGCCTCTAAGCTCCGGAATCCGGTTCGTTTCAAGCACCAAAAAATTGTCGGTCTAGAAGCAAGAACCGCATACGTCACGCTTACGTCGGAGGGGGGCGAGATTAACCTGAGCTAACAGTTAAAGGCGAGTACGGCAAATACAAGTTGTAACAAGCAGTAGTGCACAATCATCGACCCGACGCAGTCGTTGTTGTAAGTAGTGATCGCCGTAACGCCGTTGGGGAGAAAATCAGCGACGTAAACGGTGACGTCATGACGCAGCAGCGGCAGCACCAGTCGGGCTCTGGGCGGTGTGAACAAAACGGGGGCTGAAAAGAAAAACCGGTTCCAAACCAGAAAAGCTCTAGCACGAAGCTAGAACGGGAATCTGAGTCATTAAAGTCTTATTTTCTTCAAAACTATTTGGTAAAGCAAATCAGCTGTTTCAAAATACGTTTTTTTTAAAAAAGTATTTGAAGAATACATTTATTTTCTTCTTGATTCTTGCTTCAAAGATTCTCACACTTTTTTCTGGGAAATCCTTGAACCAAGTTATTGAAAATATTGTAGTAACGTCGCTACTAGACTGGTATACTTTCCCCTTATTATTTAAGAAAATTACTTAATATCAATAACATAGAGTAGTTGAAATGATCTCCAACGAAACCGGCTAACATTTAAATACTAAATACAGGTGAGTTTTAAAATAAACTAAAACGCTTAAAAATGTAATAAAAACAATTAAATGAAATAATCTAGTATAACAACAATCTATCAAAAATCATATACACACTATCAGTATAATTCATGCATGAGGACTTCTACTTCTGATTAATTTCGGATGACATTTCACTTTATTTGTAGTACTTTTGTGTACATTATACTGGGTAAGAAAGGACAAGAGTTCATGAAGGACTTTGAGAAGTGATGGAGACTTCAGTGAGCCAATCCTAAAGCGGTGGGCGGGGCTAAACAGTGCCCCGCTCACCTGACTTCCAAACCAGTGTTTGTGTCCATTAGTAATCCTGTCCTGGATGTCTGAGGGGATGACATTGACAGACATTGGAGTTCACAGCATCTGTTCTCTCAGGCTTGACCTCCTCTGAGTTTCTGTCGATATCCCCCCGCCACACAGCTTCAAGAGAAACTCCTCAGGTCGCTTTTACTGGTGGGGGGCATGGAACAAGTGCGGAAGGAGGAGAAGGATAATCCGTTGGCTTCAGCTAATCTTCTCTCCAAGATTTTCTTCTGGTAAGAGAAGCGGCCTTCAGGGACAGCCGTGTTTGACATTAATTGAATGGAGAGCTCTCCTGTGTGACTGTTTGTCAACTCAAAGGACTGTCCACTGGATGTGATAGCAGGTAGCTCAGCATCAGTCCATGCGTAAACATAACCTCACTGTTCCCACACACAGGAAAGAGCTCAGGCTTTAAGTACCTGTTTATTCCTATACACTTAAATGACAACAGGCACGTCTGTGCAGTACTTCTAAAGTAGCATGACACATACAAAGTGGGTGAATATGTTTCAATAGTAAAGTAAAAAGTAGCTTTTACTAGCATTGATTACAAAAAGGAAAATGAGAAACAGTAAATATTATATAATAACATTTGAGTAGTAAACAAGTTTTGGAAGTTTGCAAAAAACGTTATTAATAAAGAAAAACATGGATTACACTTGAATTCTTTTTAACATCTGCTCTCTAGTATTACACCCCCTTAGTGTAACACCCAACATAAAAATAAACCACTTTCTTCCACCAATATCTTTATTTAAACAATTCAAAAATCCATACAGTGTTTTTGAGAATTGATTCAGTATTGCAAAACATAACATTGTGATACCCAGGTGTTGATATTTTCTTACACCTTTCATACAAACATACTACTTACATAAGGTACAGTAGCAATACATTTATCTGTTCTGGTAAAAAACAGTACTTTTATTTTCATGTTTTTTAATAAGGCTAAATCTAGGTGTCTATAGATTCTTTGAACAATAATTTCCATATTATATTTTAACTTCTGAGCATGCTTTCATTGACTTTCTCTCTAGTTGGCTTAACCCCTTGTTCAGAACTGGGTACAAGAGGAAGTTGGAGGAAGATGACATGTATAACGTTCTCCCAGAGGACGCATCAGAAACACTCGGGGAGGAGCTGCAAGGGTAAGATGTTGAGTAGAGTTTAGTTAATTATGTTCAAATACATATTTACTGTAATTTTTCCAAAGTACAAAGTAGCTAATATGATGGTTAGGTTTAGATTCTTGGAGTCCGATGCCACAGTGATCTATTTCTGCATGTACTATACATAAATTCTAGTGTCGTACTATATACACTGATTGGGGTTTAACACCTTTTACATTTCACAGGTACTGGAACAGAGAGGTTCAACAGGCGGCAAAAGATCTGCGCCCACCCAGACTTGAAAATGTTCTTGTACAGTGCTACTGGAGATCATACGCACTCATTGGAATTTACATCTTTATAGAGGTACAGTTACACACATCTACAGAAACAATACTGTTTTAAGACTTATGTTTCTCTCTTTAATTCAGCACTCTTCTGCTTTACATCTGATTTTCTATCAGGAAGTTATCAAAGTCATTCAGCCGTTGCTACTTGGGAACATAATTGAGTACTTTGAGAGAGAAGACCGCACCGACAACACAGCTGCGGTCCATGAGGCCTACAGATCCGCTGCGGGCATCTCCTTGTCCTGCATCAGTCTGTCTGTTCTTCATCATCTCTATTTCTACCACGTCCAGCGAGTGGGCATGAAGATTCGTGTGGCCATGTGTCACATGATCTATCGGAAGGTCAGTCATTATGTGACACTAATGTATAATGTCATCGTCTGTCATATTCCTTTGGTTCATATACATCAATTAACAACTTTGTTTTGCAAAGGCTCTTTGTCTTAACAGCAAAGCATTTGCCAAAACTACCACAGGACAAATTGTTAACCTCTTATCCAATGATGTCAACAAATTTGATGAGGTAATTATCTGAAAGCATGCTATGTTTATATTTAATATCCAGTATGTCTAACCCATTCAATAATACATACCTTACACCAATCCTTTGCTTTTCATCTTTTTCTTACAGGTAACCTTATATTTGCACTTTCTGTGGATCGGGCCTCTACAAGCTGCAACTGTGATATTATTGTTGATGTATGCTATTGGCCCATCATGCCTTGCGGGTATGGCTGTTTTCTTCATCCTGATGCCTGTACAGACAATGTTCGGACAGTTGTTCTCTAGTCTCAGGTTTGTAGTTATTATATTGTAGTTCAAATCAAGAAAATCATTTTTCATTTGACTGCGTGTGTTGTACTGGTGCCGTTGCTGCAATGTTTGTCTGTTGTTTTAGGGCTGACACAGCAGTCCTAACAGATGACAGAATACGGACAATGAATGAAGTCATCACTGGTATCCGTGTTATTAAAATGTATGGATGGGAGAAGCCTTTTGCTGCATTGGTGGATGAGGTCAGAAGGTACAGCCAAAACTAACCTGCTTTCCGTTTTATCAAAAATAAATTAGAATCTAACATCCTATCCTCTTAATAACAAGCTCATTAAAGGCAAAGGCCCGTGTTAGCTGACAACAATGTGCATCATGTTTGTTAAACAGCTTTTACTGACAACAACTCCTGTTATTGTACAGAATGGAAATCTCCAAGATCATGAAAAGCTCCTATCTGCGTGGTCTGAACATGGCGTCTTTCTTTGTGGCCAACAAGATCATCGTCTTCATCACCGTCTGCGTCTACGTCCTGACAGGAAACCAGCTGTCTGCCAGCAGAGTGTTCATGGCTGTTTCCCTCTACGGGGCGGTCAGACTCACCATCACGCTCTTCTTTCCTTTTGCTATAGAGAAGGTTTCTGAGTCTCTAATCAGCATTAAAAGAATTCAGGTAATTACACCACACACAAAAACCTTATTATACCCAGTGTGTGTTGAATACGGTCAATGTAAACTAGAGCTCTGAATGTGCTTCCTTCTTCTCAGACTTTTCTTCTGCTCGATGAAGTTGCTTCTCAGCACCTGGGGCTTCCCTTTTCAGACAAGAAGGACTGTTATGTGAAGATTCAGGACTTAATATGCTACTGGGATAAGGTGAGAATTATTGTGGGCAACATGTCTCCTTTCTATCTGTACATAGCTCATGTGCTTCAATCCTTACAGCCCTCAAGTAAGGATAGAGAGTGTTGCTATGCAGATTGTGAAGCCTTGAGGACAAACTTGTGATTTTGAGGTATAAGTAGGCTTAATTCCACATTAACAGTCTGAATAGTTATTACATGACAGTTTCTGTTTATTTACAGATGCTAGAGGCTCCAACATTACAGAATGTGTCTTTCACAGTGGCGCCAGGGCAGCTCGTGGCAGTAATCGGACCTGTTGGGGCTGGAAAGGTCAGGTCAGTTTTGTACTCTCAGGCTTATAGTCATGCTGCACATGTGACATGTCAAGTAACTTTGAAATAGTTTATTATATAAAGGTCAAAATTGTACTATTAGTACAGCATAGAGTCAGTGCTAGGTTTGACTTTTTTTACCAGTAGTCGAATGCCATAAACAATTTTACTAGGGCTATTGGCTTATACTGATACAATGGAGACATTACATGTTTACATTTGTAAGAAATACAAATGAAATACCATGCTTTTACCATAAAGGAAAGCTTTTGTAGGATTGTATTGTAAGCATCTCTATCTAAAGCCAGGTTGTTGGATAGTTAGATTGTTTTCAGGCAGCACTATACATTATCTTCCTCAACTGAAAGAACTGAAAAACACATACTTATTCACTTTATTACCGAGAATTAAACAAGAATAACAGACCTCTCTTGTTTTTGTGTGGCAAATATGGAGCTAGTGCAATCAGATATTGGCTTGGCTTAACATAAAGACTGTAAGCATTCAAGAAAACACCTAGAAAAGTTATAAACATGTGGTCTGTTATTTCTTCTGTGTTTGTGCATGTCAGTCCTCACTCCTCAGTGTGGTTCTGGGGGAGCTGAGTCAGGAGAGTGGTGTGGTCAAGGTCATAGGAAATCTTACATACACCTGTCAGCAGCCCTGGATTTTACCTGGTACGATTCGAAGCAACATCCTTTTTGGGAAAGAGCTCAACCCCCAGAAGTATGAAAGAGTCCTGAGAGCCTGCGCCCTCAAGAGAGTGAGAATCACATGCCCTGCTGCATCTTCACACTCTGTAGTCTAGGTGTTAATAAAGTTTAGTTGGAAGTGAGTTTCTTGTTAATGTGGATGACTGGTAAGGGTTGCATTTGCACCCTGTTCAGGACCTGGACCTGTTGCCAGGTGGGGACTTGGCATTGGTCGGGGACAGGGGGGCCAACCTCAGTGGAGGACAGAAGGCAAGGGTCAGCTTAGCAAGGTGTGCTATAAAAAAGCAGCAAGGCACATTTGTATTTGGTGTAAGTGATAAATAACGACAATAACCTTCACATGTGTGTACTTTTAGAGCAGTGTATCAGGATGCAGATATCTACCTGCTGGATGACCCGCTCAGTGCTGTGGATGCTGAGGTGGGACGGCACCTCTTTGAAAAGTAAGTCTTGTTATTAACATCTCAATATTATTTTCTATGGATCACTCCAGTAAAAATCAGTTAATCAGGTCTAAGTTATGGAAGTATGTCAGCACAAAATATATATATATTTTTAGGTGCATTTGTGGACTTTTGAGGAAGAAGCCTCGTATACTGGTTACTCACCAACTACAATATCTGAAGGCTGCGGACCAGATTGTTGTCTTAAAGCAGGTTTGTGTTGACGTTTGTGCTTGTTTATAATATACTGTATATAACATGTTAAAAAGGTGACCATGTGGTGATAAAATATTTAAAAAATGATGCATTGAATCTGCATTTAGTACGTCTCTCCATGCATTCTTATATGTGCTATTCAAATAGTTTAGATTATGATCGCATGTGTGACAAGGTGTATACTTCTGTTAACAGTCACTGTATTATAACATTACTTCGGCCTCATTTCAGTGCCTTTTTCCAGCTCAATTACTTTCTCAGTAACTCCACAAGCAAAATGTATCTTTTAAGTAACAAACACTTACCCTCTCAGGTATTAAAGGTTGCTTTAACAAGTTTGAAGTTACCCTTAGGGCATCAACTGATTGGATCTGATGCCTTATGAATATGCCTTTCTTTGGTTGCTATCTTTGACTGTCTGTGGTTTGGAGCCAGGCAGTCTGTAGTTCACAAGTTTTTCTATTAAAACAAACAAAGGATTTGATTTCATCTCTCAGTCTGACCCCTTCAAAGCTACATATAATCACCTCAATCAGTATTGAAATAAAATACAACAGATATTGATGATTAATTGGTAGCAGCTTTTACCACAATTGTATTCATCAAAGGAAACAATACTTTCTGTGCGGTGTTCAAAGGTTAGACGCTTGATGTTTTATAAGTTAACAATATAATATTCAGAACTAGATTATTAATTTGACTTCCTTATGTTTCCTACCCTATATGTATTGGGACTCTTGTTATTTCAATACTTTCAACACGGTGAAGGACATTCAACAAGTTTTTGTGAAAAGACTATTATTCTCTTACTTAGAAATACATTTAATATATCAATTATGTGTCTGTGGGAGGACTTTCTTTTATATAAGAGTTTTGAAATGACATACAGTAGGATGAAAACTTACATAATTGTTTTGTAAGTTAAAAGTTTCATTTCCAGGGGTAAATCTTCCAACAGTAGCTGAAATGTTCCTCACATTTGTCTAAATTATGTTTATTTCTTCCACCATTGTCAGGGTCAGATGGTAACACGGGGAACCTACAGTGAGTTGCAGGGCTCTGGACTCGACTTCACCTCCTTGCTGAAAGATGAAGAGGACCAGGAGGAGGACAGGAAGACCCCCATCCCTGGGACTCTCTCCCGCTTCCCCCATACACTCTCTGACAACTCAATATCCTCTAAGTCTTCCTTATCTTCCTCTCGGTGCTCTTTGATTAAGGCACCAGAACCAAACGAAGTGGTAAGTGTGTTGGATCATTCTTTAAAGTTGGCCATCATTTTCGTACTTACTTCATCAAACTTTAAAGGTCACCTATTATGCAAAATCCACTTTTTCATGTCTTTTATACATAAAACTGTGTAAAGACATTCTGAAAGTTTAGGGAAAAAAGATTGGCTCACATATTGTCCTGATCCGTTTATATAAAAACCTGTCTGAAAATGAGCTGATCAGATTTTGGCCACTTTACGATGTCATAACGATTTTTTGGCTTGTGTAACCAATAGCCAATAACCAACCAAGGTAACCCCCCCCACCTTATCACCTGAATCTCCTCCTAGAGCACCATTGTGTTCTTTTTAAACAAATATCTCTCAGAGGGGCGTTGGGAGTGGCTCCTTATTTTCATCTAAAGTAACAGACAGAGAATCAGCACTTTTGAAACAGGGCTGAAACAGAGGGGTTTATGGGATGCTGCAATGATCTGTTTGGTATTTCAAGGCAAACACTTCAGAGACATGTTTTGTATATATCTGAGACCTTTAATATATTGATGAAAAACAGTATAATAGGGGACCTTTTAAGCATATGTGTATAGCAATCTCAATGTATGAAAAGGGTTTGTTGTGAGTTCTGGCAGCCACTAGAGGGCAGAAGGAGCTCACATTTCCCTGCTGCTCATTAGAGCCTGATCTTAAATGTTGCTCACTGACACTAGTGTCTATCTGAAGGTAGTGCAACCAACAGAGGAGGAGAGCCGCTCAGAAGGAAACATCGGCCTGCGTATGTATGTGAAGTATTTCAGGGCAGGCGCTAACTTTCTGGTCCTCTTCATCCTCATTTTACTCAATGTCATAGCACATGTGAGTCCATTTTTTCAATTCATTTTTTGTGTGTGTTCCATGCATTTTAGTCAAATACAACATATAATCGATCTAGTCATTTTTAGACAAAAGAGAATACTGTAATAAATTGTCTTGATTAATGTTAATTTCATGTTTTTTGTGTTTTCTTTTTAGATAACATTTGTGCTGCAGGACTGGTGGCTTGCGTGCTGGTGAGATATTATTTATTTTACACCTTGTGAACACATATGCTTGCAAGAATATCATGTATTGAAAGGCAAACTGACTATTTCCAGAGACTGTAAATGGTGGATGGTTTGGTAGAAGAAGGCTGAACCTTGGTATTATCTGTCACTTGTTGAACTGACCTTGTGCTTCAGGATAGGGGGAATGTTCTGTTTAGTGCCTTCCTGTTGCAGCATTCTTTATTCGTTGTGTTTATTTGTCCTTGTGGATTTTTGGTTCTTTTGTGGCTGTCTTGCAGGGCCTCTGAACAGAAGCACATCAATGTGACAGAGCCCCTCAATGGCAGCCTCCCCCGGCAGCTGGACCTTGACCTGTACCTAGGTGTTTACGCAGGTGAAGCTCACTGAGCGCACACTGCTTTTTGTGTACTGTTGAGGCTCTAAATATGCCAGCCATTCAATGAACAGATCCACAGTTCTTTGGCTGTGGCCCAAGGCCTTCAAGGCCCAGTGTATGTGTACATGGGCCTCAGCTGTACAGGGAGATAGCAGTGCCTTTCTTCTTCTCTCCTGTTGGATTGCTCTGATTGTCTCCCTGTGACTCCTAGCTCTATCAGGCTTTGTATTCACTGGGACAGTTCAGCATTCAAGACAAACATGAACATCATTTGAAGGCAAAACTTAAGTGGAACACTCTATGTCATTTCTTATGCCATTCAACATACAAAATAATGGGAACTGACCTTGGAACAGGTACAAGGGAAATATTTTAGTGTGCTGATGGATTTTTCTTCTGTGCTTTTGTCAGGTTTAACAGCTACTTCAGTAGTGTTCGGCTTCCTTCGCAGCTTGGTCTTCTTTAATGTGTTGGTGAGCGCGGCCCAAACCCTACACAACAGCATGTTTAACGCCATCCTCCGGACCTCGGTACACTTTTTTGATATCAATCCAATTGGTAAGTGACTCTCATCAATACTGATTTATGTAGTACAGGAATGAAAGGATGCTTTTGAGACGTTAACATCCTCTGGGGCCTAAGGTTGAGCTTATTGTTCTAATGTCTCACCACTAGAGAGCAGACTGTTACTTACTTTCTCGTCTTTCCATCCACTTTACAAATATCCACTAACTTGGCCTTCAACTCCAAAATGTGTTATTGCTATTAGATTTAAAAAGTACGATAACTTGTCTTTTCAAATATAACAGTTTTCAGATTAAATGTAAAATTGTATACAATTCAAATCTTTTATATTTTAATCATATTATTTGAATGTTTATGTCATTTCTATATATAAATAAAGTGCATATCTGAAAATTAATCAGTATATCTATTATTATCTATAATTAATATAAAGGCTGTACATTTAGTCACACATGCTTATAGATGGTGTTCTGTAAGTGGGATTTATAGGTTCTGAATAAACTGGCAACACAAAAGTCGCTGCTGGGAAGTAATGCCTGTGTAACCAGGAAGCCAATTCAGTCAAAAAGCCTTGAGATAGGACTTTATATATAGCCGTAATGTATTTACAAATGACTAAAGGGAGTGTTATCTTTTTTTATTGTGAGCTTGAACAAAAAGCAAACAATCATATTGAATAAATGCTGTTTGCACAAGATCTTGGTCAGTGTTGTGTTTGGACTATAGAGCTGTGTAAATACGGACGTATTTGTCTTGTGCGCATTATCAGAAATCTTCGATTTATTTCATTAGCTTTGTAGGCTGTAGCTGCTGGCTCAATGGAGTAGGCAGATGGACAAGATTTAGAAAGTGAGCAAACACTCCAAATCGCCTGACTTTACTCAGGCAGGGCTGCTGGTTTTCCTTTTGGCGTGTTTTTCACTACCATTTTAAATAGATACTAATATAACTGAGAGCGTTTTCTCCTCTTGTAATTTTAGCTTTATGGTATTCATTATTTTTAATAAGGTGAAGTACTGTCACTACAATCTGTCATTCATATCCAAAGTCAACTGTCAAGTGGCCCACTTTGATAACTTTAATTTTTCTGGAGCATGGTTCACCTGTCAGCAGATAATTACTCAGCCTAATCTCTTCATAGTGACATGCATGTACTACACAATCAGCTCGGGTGGGAATTCTCAACAAGAAGGAAACTTGTTTCTGTATAATGAGTCATAATAAGCTGCTAACACAAGTCTAAATATGATTTGAGGGTGTTCAGAGCTTGCGGTTTCTTCTCGCTTTAGAAGTGGGTGCAGCGACAAAGCTTCCCTTTGCATAGCTGTGTTTGGAGCAAACACCACAGGTCTTAATCTTTGGCTTTTGTTTTTACTGCTGCCGTTGTGTTAGGTATTGGACTACCTGGCAGCTTATCTGGGTGTGCCCTGCTTTGTAATCTACGCACGGGAGGAGAACAAACACTTTGAATAATGTAATAATCTGTTTAATAGTGCAGCAAAAGAGAGGCTTAACAGACAGTGCTATCTGATTGCTGTTGTGCGGCTATCAGTAACCATTGTATGTCCAGTCCAGTCATTACAGCTTGGCCTCTAGGCTGGCTAACAACACTGTGTGTCTGACTGCATATTTAGACAACTGTCCCAGAGAGGGGGTTTCTTTTGTCCTTTGTCCAGTCAACAGTAGATTAAGCATGACCGTGACATTTTTTTTGACAATATAAATGACTTTCACTGATTTACGTTTTTCATTTCTTCTCTCGCTCTGTATTTTTGACTCCTTTACTTGAGTGAAACCAAACAGAAAAGACCAGTAAAAAGCTGTTGTCAGCTCTGTCACTTCTCTCTCACTCTTCTTTCTTTCTTATCGCGCTGCTACTGTCTAAACCATTTCTTTTTCTTTCACACAATAACCACTTCTCCATCACAACTGTTTCCACAACTACTTGTCTCATGCAATAAGTGTGAGCCATTTGTTGCTGTGTGCCTATGTGTTGTTAAGGATTTGACAACTGTTTATATGTGTAAGTGATAGGTGCACTGCTGCTGAACAGGCCCAGTGTTTGATAGCTGTCCACAGAGTGAAAGGTTACCATTTCAAGCATCACTGCACAAAGGTCTTATTTGTTATTCTGTGAATGTGGTTTATAACAATAGAGTACAGCAGTGGTGAATTATGATTGATGGAGAGGCATTGTAGCTCTTCTGTATCAGACACTGAATGCCTCTGCGCCATTTGAATCATGTGTTATCTTTTGTGTGGAAATAGTTGATTTCCAAGTTTTGTGATTAAACCTTTATATTTTGTATGGTAGGAAGACATCCAGATGAGTTTGATAAAACTACGGACTGATTTTTGCTCTTCTATATGAATTTATATAATCTAATATATTCATGTTTCTACATTTTTGAAATATGTACAGCTGTTCTTCCAAATGTGATCCAGTTAGAGCAGCGGAGACAGCGGTGGATGTGTTGAGCTGATGTTGATCCCTGTAATTTAGTGTCATTGAGTGGGCTAATCCCCTCAGAGACTGCAGGCCAGGGCTTCAGCTCATCGGCACAGTCAAGGAGTGGAGTTTCAGTCTACACACACACACACACACACACGCACACACACGCACACACACGCACACACACGCACACACACGCACACACGCACACGCACACGCACACGCACGCACACACACACACACACACACACACACACACACACCCACACACACACACACACACAACCACACACACCTTTACCGTCCCCCTTAGCATCGGCATATTGGGCCATCTCAGTGCCAGGTGTCACTCAGTTGCTGTTGATGCAGGGAACATTAGATCCTCTGTAGTCAGTGAAGTGAGATTCTAATTGTGTCTACAGAGGCAATGTTTTTAATGTCTGTATTTCAGGTCTTGGATGCAAGAGTGTTAAGAGCGAAGTCGAGGAAGTACTGCAGAGAGGATGATGATATCGAGGTGTGTAAATTGAATGTGGAGATGGAGCCGTGTGTGTGTGCAGTACGGCTGATAGGGCTCCCCCTCGCTCGGCACTTCCACTATTTAATTGCATGAAAGGGAAGCAGAGGAGATTGCAGGAGCCTGGCGGTGTGAGCGAAGAGAATGGATTTAGAATGTATTAGTATTGGCAGCAAGGCGCCGGCGGTGGGAGGCTGCCCCAGGCCCCGAGGCCCTTCATGGAAGTACAGGTGAGCTGTGCCACCTCCAGCCTTGGCAGCCCCCTCCCCGATATTCCTTCATTATCACACTTGCCTGACTGAAAGGCCCTTCCAACTGCACTGGGCCCACACATGGAGCAGCTCTGAGTCGTCCCCTTATCTTGATGTTTACAGGGAACAGCGATTTGCCACACGCCCTGCTCCAGCCGGACCCCACTGTTCCACTTCTTTAACTGTGATTGGGGGCCCTGCTTTCCTAATATCTCCACCTAAGGGGCCACCTTAGTTGGGAGGGCTTGATATTTCCTGAGCCTGAAAAAATGGTGCAAATCACCCCTGGAGTCTTAAACCATGATAAATGGTTTGATAGTAATGCTGCTGATATCCTGAAACGTCTATACCCCTTTCTACACAATAGGTGATATTGTTGACAACCACCCATAGTGATTGAAGCCATTGTCCCATGCCGATCTTACCTCATAGGCATTTCCATGCAGTGAATGTCTTTGTGTAACGGCATCACTGTAATGTATCCCCTCTATAGTCCGCGGTGGATGGAGAAGGCCTTTACTTCATCTCCTCTGAAACTCTCTGTTAACTGAGCCGCTTGTCAAACAGCTGATAGCTGACTGATGTTTTCTGTTTTAACACCCTCTAACCATGGTATGATGTAACCCAGAGAAACCTATCCTCTTCTTGCTGGCATTGTTTGTCAGATATGCATGAATTTAGGTCATCTATGGCTTAGACAGTAAAATTACATAAAATATTATTGGATCTTCCGCAAACACAGTTTGACAAATACTCCCCCCATTCCCAGACATAAGCAGTGATCTTCTACACTAGTATAGTAGCAGCTCTACCCCCTTGCATGAACCCTCCCCTCAGGATGTCTGTATGCTAAAGGGGCACTCACACTGTGAATAAGATTAGTCTGCCTCCAAGTGTACAACATGCTTACGCCACTTGACTTTGAATCAGTACTGATTTGGAGCATTGCTGGATTGTTGCGGGGAATAATGCTCTGGCTGGGTTTATGCAATGGCTGTTATGGGGAGCCCGGCCTCGTCTGCATGCATGTTTTTAAGGCGGGAGTGGCATTTTGGATAAAGCTGTAAGCTGCTTATGGCCGTGGAGAGAGGTGATTACAGGGCCCACCTCCATAAGACTGACTGGGAGGCTCCGAGGCAAGTTTTAGGTCAGTGGTGCCATGGCTCCACTCCACCACGCCTCCAGAGTGCCATTCTGCCACATTCTGCCAATGTGCCGCTCAGCCATTTCCTCTCTTAGTCCCGTAACAAGTCCCACCCTGTTACATAGCCTATTCTGTAAGCATGGATAAACACTTCCGCATGCTTGCAGGGATAGTTTCACTTTATCATGATTTTTACATTAAATACTGTATGCGAGTGCTGCTTTATTTATATTCTCTTCAAACTGATATTGTTTGCTTAATCACCAAGAGAGACAATGGGTTGCTTAATAGCTGTATCAAACATTATGACACCATTTGGGAGTTGTTTTGACAGTGAATATACATTAAACTACGCACAATACTGTATATCTACTGGTTGTTGGTGTCGGGCGCTGTACAATAGCTGCCCACTGCTCCTAGTACTAGACTCCTGGTACTAGGATGTGTTAAATGCAGAGAACACATTTCACTGTGTGTGCTGTGCTCTGCATGTGTGACCATTACAGAGGGTTTCATCCCTCCCAATTCTTCTTCTATTTTACCTGTAGCCATTTTTCCTATTGTGGCACTGCAGGCACTGCTCTGGTACTTCTTGTCTGCCTCTGAGTCTGAGTTCTTCCTTCAGGGACAGAGATAGAGAACGCCTTTCTGTATTGCCTGCCTTTAGGAAGTGTAGCCTAGGGATTTACTTTCACTGACCCTGCTGTAAACATTGTGGGAAAGCAACTGGAGTGTAATCTTATGTACTGTGGGATCAGAATAGGGGAGCAGAGTTACTAAAATGGTCACAATAAAGGACTGCCACAGCACCTGCGAAGCACCAGACAAAATAATGAACACCTGAGCAGATTGGAGGCAACTCAATTAACGTCACTGACACTGCCAGTCAGAACATAAAGGCAGGTACACAGCTTCTGTTGCCCTTTTGTTCCCAAACAAAAGGTTCCCTCGTGTATTCAGCCAAGAGTAGGGCAGTCTTTATGAAATGCTAGACAAATAATGATTCATTGTTTACTCTAGATAGGCCTGTGTTTTTCATCTGATATCACACTCCGTGTATAAGCTCTTTTCTATTAAGTTGGAAGGGACTTTGGTAACAGTTGCTCAATAGTCAAGTGAGTACAAGGAAATTGAAACAGACTAAATATTGTTATCAGTGGATAACAGAGGGAAATTCCCAAAGGATAAACAGTATTAGCATTTGACGCAGATTTTTTTTTCTAATTTCTATCTGCATATTAAATTGCACAATACAGTAATATATCTTGAATGTCCCCTCACACTACAAAAGTATACATTACATTATCTTATTTTTCTCCAATAAAAGAATACTCTGCTCTCAATTGTGGGATTCTATCTTACATATATCCACTCTAATGTCTTGTAATCTGGACCTTTTGTGTTGTGTTGTTTTCCAGGAAGAATCCTCAACAGGTTTTCGAAGGACATCGGTTACCTGGACTCTCTGCTCCCATGGACGTTTGTGGACTTTATCCAGGTGAGTCTCACCTCGGCAGGTTTGGTCGCTGGCGCTGCAGCATGGGAAGGCCATTTCATGCCTGGCTAAACCTGCTTTGTGGTCCGGGTCCCCTAATCTGGAAACAATTACTGTAGGATTACCCGCCAGCGCGGCCCAGCGCCTGCACAGATTTAATAAAAGTGTGCACATAGGCTGAGGGCGTGGCTCCCACAGTGTGACACAACAGAAGCGGCATCTTCAGAGAATGTGTTTGGGGAGTAAGCAAGTGATTGGGAGAGAGAAAGGTACCAAAGAGGAAATAAAGGCCGCAGGATGATGGGGATGATGTGGAGAAAAACAGTGGGTATGCGAGGAGGGGGGTGACAAGGATGATGAGTTGAGTGGCAAAGAGAAGAAGTGTGAGCAGCAGGCGTGCGATGTGTTCGCAGGAGTGGACCTGGAAGCGTGGTAGAGGGGAAAGGGGGACAGGTCAGTTGGAACAGATCCAGAGTGGGACTTGCCCCTCTCCGCGCAATTCACCTACAGTAATGCTCTACAGTCTTCAGGCCTGGTAGCCAAGGGCCACCCTGGTGCATAACCAGGTAAGGTTACCAAATGCCACCCTGCCACCGTGACAGCCATCTCCCACGAAAGCCTGCGGAGATGAGCCAGCTCATGCACCTAGCACCACAAAGACGGGAATGTTCGCTGCACAATTCGAGGTAGAGGAGCAGGCGTGGCTCTTTGGTTAGGGCCAAAGAATAGAACAAAGGCGTGCTGAAAACGAATCCCCCCTCCACAATGCCTGAGTGATGTTTGTGGCAGATACCCATCTCACAGTAGACAAAAGCCATCTTAAATGCTGAAAGCACAAAAGATCATATGCACAAAAGCTTTTTGTCTGCTATAGTTTCCCTCATTTTGATAATAAGCTGAATAATGGCTGGGGTAAAATAATAAGTTTGCAGAAGGCGCATAGCTCCTGAAATGAAAACAGTGAAAGTAGCTTATGTCATAACTAAATACAGACTTGTATTGCACATATGAACTCACTGTACTTCAAGTATGACTTGAACAGTATAAGATATTACCTGCTTTTTCTTGGAATATAAGAGACATTACTATTTTGTAGTGCATTGTAGTGAAGAATAGCTTTTAGTAACTTAAGGGCCAACTTTCAATAAGACAGGATGTTCTGATTGTTTCTGCTGGTCTTTTTGTGGTGAGCAAGTGGGAAGTGATTGTGACTTGGGACAAAGGTGGCATCCTTTCAACAGAATACTTTTGTTTGTAATGCTTTCTGCTCTTGTTTGCAGGTGTCTTTCATGGAGCGGTCTTTAATGCTTTCAGGAAGGACGATTTTCACTCTTTTTATCAAAGTATTAGCCGTGCAGAAAAGCTGCTGATCCTGACTATTGTTGCTCATTCGCAGAGGGACATTTCCCCATAGTCATTGTTTAAATGGTTGTCAGGGGGGAATAAAGTGAAACTTCATAAACAATGCCCTAACTGGTTTATCTCTCTCTATGGGGAGAGGCCGCTTCTGTGCAGGGATTTGCACCAGAGCCTCCACCTGTTTGGTGGAGTAAGGCCTTCAGCCTCTCAGCACTGCCCCCATACCCGCCTGACAAGGGGATTCCCTCAAGCTGGGTGAACCTGGTTACACCCCAGAGCCCTATTTTTTTCACAGGTCTCATTTAGTAGTAATTTGGTGTATGGAGGAAAAGGCTTTTTCTCTTTTCTCTTTATGGTCACGGGACAAAGACAGAAATGTCAATTAAAAACACCTCGGGCTTCGGGGACTGTCTGTTTTTGTGAAGACTTGACCTTTAAATCCTGGGTTGCCATTATTTTCACAGAGGGGTCAGAGGAGGAGGGCAAGACAATAAAGGGTGAGTTCAGGGGTCTTTCAGTGAAGGATTTTGTGTGAAGGCTCTTGACCAAGTCACAACACTTACTGTGAGGTCCATAGCTACTTTCACAGTTGTTCTTAACCATCCACGCAAATTCAGTTTGTCAGCATGTGTATGTAAGACACCAGCTGAAAGCTACTCTCATTTAAGTAGGACTTAGCCTGGTCTCGGCATTGTTTATGGCATATAAACGTGCATAAACAGTAGCTCATAAATCAATTGTACAGCAGTAAAACCTACAGTCGAGAAAATATATAACACTTTATAGTGCGTGTGAGAAGAAGAGGTAGTGCGTGGTATACAGACACAAACCTAGCACCAGGACACACACACACAAACACACAGCAAAGGTGGCTATTGTCTAAAAACACTGGCGGGTGGATCGCTGTGTGAGTCTGTATATTGTGGCACATTGTGTGTCAGGCCTTTTCAGCGGCTTTGTGGGATATGAGAACTGCTGACGTAACCGTGAGTGCTGTAGGATGGGATTTCACTTGCTTTCTCTGCTTCTTTACCACGCGGGTGACAGAAGAAGTGAAGAATGCTCTGGCTCCAGGCGTTACACAGGTTAGCCTGAGAAACACAGAAGATGGTCCTGTGCAGAAATATATACATGTAGGCTGTAAATCCCCCTTTGACCATTGTTTTATGACATTGCAATTGTCTTCATGCACAAGTAAAAAAACTACAAGTGACAGAGAAAGGGGATAAGCCTAAAGAGGAACTATGTTAATTATTCTATTTACTTATTTGTCAAATTAGATTGTTTTGATTACACCACAAAACAGCATTGTGTTTTTGTCTGCTTATGGGTGTGTCTAACCAGCCACTCAGCAATACCACACATGGTCATTTGATGGCGAGCATTGGCCAGCAATATAGCATTCAATGTGTGTATGTGTGGTCTCCCATGATGCTGCGGTCCAGCACCTCAGCTTCTCTGACTCAGACATACAGGGTGCTTTGAGCCTGGGAACTTAAAAAACAAAGTCCCATCTACTAATCTACACTCTCACCTCATGTCAATATGACAAACCTAATGAATTCTGTGCATTCTGCCAACTACTTTTGTATTGGTGAATTGCTGTTTTTTTGCACATTTGAAAATGTTTTTGTGTTGTTTTAACAGAGAGAGAGAAAAGAGCAGTGGCTGAATGAATGAATTTGCTGGACACAAGTGATTTATAGTTGAGAGAAAGGGAGAGAGAGTGAGTGAGTGAGAGACCGCATTTCAAAGCCTTTCTCTTATTTCCAAAATGGGGTTGGAAATCAGCAGCTTGACTGAGCCCAAATAAGTGACTTCTTTTACCTTTTCACAGCACACAAAGGCCTAATCCTAGGACTACTTGAGCCACCAATGTAGACAGCGACTGAGACCACCACAGTATGTGTCAGACCCTCCTCACCACACACAAAACACATTGACTGCAGCTTTATGAAGTGAAAATGGCCCAGAAAGGGAAAATGTGAGGGAGGTGTCCACAGTCATTTCTCCCAAAGAAAGGGCATGGCATCTGGGCATTTAATGCTAAAATAAAGCCCAAAGACAGAGTAGAATGGATTGGGTCACTTCTTTTGTTCCAGAGCCCGAGTGGAACAGCCCTTTTTTGTTTCAGTACCACTGACCCCTGCAACTTATTGTGCAGCTCTGTCAGGGAAAAGTGTGGAGAGAAAAAAATTCCAGCGATGACAGAGGACTTCTTTTGAGGAATTTTCTTTGCTATGCTTTCCCCTCATTTCCTGTTTTGTTTGCTCTCTTTTTTGTTTCACAGTGGCAAATATTGCACACAGTCAGTAAATAAAGGGAGGATGAATAAGGCGTTGTAAAAAGCATACTGATTATTTGTGTCCGGAGGGATGTTTAATTAAAGGCAAGTGTTTATTTTCTGCTGCCGAACAACAGTCGCTATCATTGCCGAACACAAATATAGCAATTAACTTCAATTTTCTGCATTTACTTGGACATCAAAGAGCTGATAGAATCATTGAGAAAATAAAGCAATTAAGGTCAGCAGAGATCTCAATGGTCTTTGGACACAGCAGTGCGCCCACTGTGCTCGAATGACTGAATCACATGCGTGCAGAAGCTTTCTTTTCTTGCTTAAGAGCAATTAGCGCTAATTCTTTATTTAAACAGTTTGTCCACAAAACCTTTCATCCTTTTATCCACTTTTATGTGCAGCGGGATGTGGCTTTGGGAGTTTTCTGTTCCTGTGTGGTTTCATAAGAGATATGGATGTGGTCCGGGGGGGTGAGGTGTACGCTTGTTGGATCACTTATCTGAGTCATCTGTGTGTAGTGTGGGTGGGGGGCCACGGTGTTCCTGATGCGGACATGATAAGCGGCAGACCACGCAAATGGGTCACATCAAACGGGGCCCTGACGACAGAGGGCCCTGGGGAGCAGGAGGAGGCAAGACTCCTATCTTAGGGTTCCTGTTCCTCCTCTGTTGCCTCAGATGACCCCACTGTCAGATAAGCCTGTCTCGGACCACCGTGGCCCCTCACTGAAATGGGCCCAATTAGAATTTAAATAACCCAATCTGCAAACCTGAATGAGCAGTGTCGCTGTGTCACCAAAGAGCAGCAGGAGAGTGAAAGAAAAACAGTTCATTTGATAAGACATTTGTTCAGTTAATATTTGATCCCCTCAAGGGAAGGCTGGATAACATGCAGTAATGGCTCGTGTGTCACCATCTCACTTTGCAGTCTGGTAGCCTTCCATCAAGGCTAAGATTGAAACTTATGTACTGTGAAATTCTTGGGATCAGTTGTGCTCAGTAGCCTCCACTCACTGTTTGATTGTGTGGGCTCCACTACAGCAATGGTTAGACTAGTAATACCCTCTTATCTGAACTGCAAATGGAATTGAGTAGCTTTTCATCAGGAAACTACACTGAAAGTGATCATGCCTAAATGTGTGCTTAAGTGGCAGATAACATCCGTAATTAAGGTGCTAAATTAAATTTTCATCTCTCTGGGCTAGTCTGAGACCACTGAAGGTAACGGCACGATCTTAATCTCCACGTCTCAGGATTCATCTTTTAGGATGTGTTTAATTTCAGGGTGTGAGGTTTCAGTTTTATCATGTACTGTATCAATCGAATATGAAATATGTAACACAGTATACCTTTCAGTTAAGAAGAAACCGTGTCTCAAATGTTCACTGGTGGAAGGAGTATTTCCTTCATTCATTTAAGAAAAAAAATATTCTTCACAAAGTAAACAAACAAACTTGAAAGATCTGCATTACATATCCTAGTCAATTAAAAGCATGGAAATACTATCAGGAAGATGTAGGCCCCTTAGTATCAAAAGTACAACTACTACCAACTGACCAATGTGACTGATATGTAAATTGCTGTTATATACAAATATAAAACAAGTTGTAAAAAAACATTTGCCTGTAAAATGTACTAAAGCAGAAGTATATAATTGCTTAAAATGGAAACACTTAAGATGATATACAGTATACTATCATATATATATATATATATATATATATATATCTGTTGATTCCCCAGTCCCAAGTTCATCAATAAAGTATCAATCTATATATCTATCTATCTAAAAGTATAAGGACCTCAAAATTCACTTAGGTACTGTACAATGGAGAATATTAACCACAGGTGGGCTTTGGTAATCATTTTTATATAATCATATTGATGTTTTTATCAGATTCAGTTTCTAAACAAAGTGCTTTGGTGTCGTCACACTCACTGCCTCCTATCCTGCTCAGGCAGCTCTGGTATCCTGGTCTAGATGTGTCACAGAGCCATTAACGCAGGTGATGAGTCACTGTGTTGTTGAGGGCTGTGTGGTTAGAGTGTGATGTATCAGACACCCACAGTGTGGTTCCCAGAGCCCTCTGCCAGTCACTGTGGCCCGGGCTGTTGGCTGGCTGTTCTGCCAGGGAGGCTTAAAGGCCAGAAGTGTTGAAGGGAGGGCCCAAGGGAGCCAGGGATATGAGCTGCAGTGGCCAAGTGGTAAATTCTCACCTGCTACTAAGTGAGAATTAGCGCTGTGGTCGTTTTCCTTTCACACTGTGAGTCACATAACCTCAGTCCCACAACCTGCTGTTACCTTTCTGTGTGTCTGTGATGGTCTCACACTTATACAACTGAAAGAGTTTCTCTTGTTTAGCCTAAATAACTAGTTTTGCTTCCCTGGTGGTAGCCACCACAGCAGCAGTGGAGCTGTTGACTCTGTTGCTGTTTGTTTATTATTGTTCTCCTTTCTATTTATCTTTCTGTCCCAGGTATTTCTCCAAGTCATTGGAGTGATTGCAGTAGCTGCCATCATCATCCCCTGGATCCTTGTTCCTGTTGCTCCACTTCTTGCTGGCTTCCTGTTTCTGCGATGCTACTTCCTTCAGACCTCCAGAGACATCAAGCGCCTAGAGTCTACCAGTAATTTTTTTTTTTTTTGGTGGTGGGGTGGGCATGTCCATTTGTGGTAAGAGACAAAAGCCGACTGCAGGAATGCTAATAGACCATTGAAGAAAGCCATGGTCATTAGCATAAAGGCTAAAGGTGGCGGTGGCCTATGGCTCGGCCACACGCAGTTTCCTCAAGAGACGGGAGTTCATGACATCACATACAATGGGGAAAATGCCAAGTGGGCATGACTAGGCCATTGCGGGCTTTAGTTCGTCTATTTTATTCTGGGCTGAGAGCCCAAATGCACATTGGCCAACAGGTTCCATCATCTTAAAGAACAAAAGTTCTAATAAAAAAGCCCAGAGGAAACATTTAGGTTTTGTCTATGGTTTTGTGAGCCTAACAAATAGAAACAAAAGACCACTCTATTGCAACCTTTCTCTAAATCAAAACTCTTTGACATGAGGGGCGTTTTAAATGTGTTTATGACGCAGTTCGTATTTCGCAATTTATAACCAGCTCACATTTTCTTTGTCTACGCCTTCTGAAGGAGAAAATATTAAGAAGAGAACCTTAAAAGCACCAAGTAGGTTATAATATAATAACTAAATTAGAAATACAGTTGATTACAACACAGAAGCAGTCAGTTATAAAAGCATGATGAATTAAAGAAAATATGTTTGATGTTTTTAGTATAGAATAATCAATGCATTTGTGTTGAAAAAGGTTGTTGTTGAATAGAGTTGATTTTACAGATGCATGTTTGTTTAAAAGCTAAAACATGTGGTACGTATATATATTATCTTTCAGCTCGGAGCCCCGTATTCTCCCACCTTTCTTCATCCCTCCAAGGCCTGAGCACCATTCGTGCCTTCAACATTCAGGAGAGGTTTCAGCAAATGTTTGATGAATATCAAGATCTTCACTCTGGTGAGAATAAAACATTTCATCATACCTATAGAAAGCCATTCATACTACTTATGGTTATTATTTCTATGTATCAGCAATATTTAGCTCTAGAGATTACATTGTGTGTATATTTTCAACAGAGGCCTGGTTCTTATTCCTGACCACTTCTCGCTGGTTTGCCGTGCGTCTTGATGGAATTTGCTCAATTTTTGTGAGCATCACTGCTTTTGGCTGCATTTACCTCAGGGATGGTACTGTATGGGTTTTGATAAACAACGAGACATTATTATTTACATGTGAGTCTTTATTAGTGAAACTGTAATGATAAACTCATGACTGTGTGACTGCATGTTTGCTCTGATACTACAGGATTAGAACCGGGTGCAGTGGGTCTGGCTTTATCTTATGCAGTGACACTTACAGGCATGTTCCAGTGGGGCGTCAGACAGAGTGCAGAGATCGAGAACATGGTGAGAACTTTGAACTGCAGGTTATATTTTCAGTGGATTATGTAATGGAATGTTTTTGTATTATTCCCAACATTTAACAAACACATCACAGTACAAGTTCTTGGCCCATAAATTCAAAATGGCCGATCAGACCAAGGGGTGACCAAAATCACATATTACCACCTAAAGTTCAATCATAGCAAAACAGGAAAGATAATATTTCAGTATAGATATTCTCACGATCAAACAAAAGAGGGAACATAAAACTAATACAAATTGATACAATTAAAATAAATTACCAATATATCTCATCTAGAAAATCCCCCCTATGATGTGACAGCCACTTGGTACATTCTGATTGGCCACTTCCTGTATTTAAGTGTTCTGATTTAAGTGGTGAATCTTTTGCCCCGGCCTACAACCAGCAATGGCATTCTCAGCATTGGTAACTCAAAGAATAGAAATGAGAACAGCTCAGGCTACTCAACAAAAAAAAAATTAAAAAATAAGACGTATTGACCAGTCGTTGAACCAGGGACCCTGCGGTTGATTGTCAACTGCTTTCCAGCTGAGCCACAGCACACACACTGAATCCATCTGAAAAAACGGAATACTATTTATTCCTGTATTTATTCATTTATTCATGTTTTTATTCCTACATTTATTTATGCTTTTATTTATTTATACTTATGACATGTTCCGACCTCTATATAAGTGAGGGTCTGAGCTCTCTTAATTCCATCGTGTCACCGGGCCCGGGTACAGGTCAGGAAGGGTAATATTTATATCGTTCTTATTATACATCCATGGGTAATATGAGCGTTGTGGTTCAACCGATCTAAAGCACTTTCTGAAGCAGTCACGTGGTATTGAGGGGCAGCGAGGCTTCGTTTGTCATCGGTGACGTCACTGGCCCAAAACAATACAAGCCTCGATACAAGCTTCACAAAAAGCTTCGGGGATAACTCGACACACGCTCCGAAGCCTCGGCGCAATACGTAACATCACTACTAAAGACCAACTTGAGTATGAGGTGGGTTAGCTTAAGTGCCTACACTACAAATAAAAGCTAACATAAACTATCATGTATGGAACAAAAGATGTGTCTCACAATGCATCTGTTTGCTGATGTGTGTGTATAAGGTGCATGAGGCACATTCAATAAGGAGAAAAGTATCTTCTAAACTTTAAAAATCTAAGCTGTATACAGGAGGGTTACAAACATTTGAATCTGCTGTGTGGCAGTAGGTGTTGCATTGTGGGAAATGAAGGATCATTTGGACTACAAGTCAACACATCTCAGCCTCTGCTGTTTTAATTTTGGCCAGTCCCTTTTTAAATCTATGGAAGTACAATTATATGAATGGAGTACTACTTTATAATACGTATTCACTGGTTGAATATGATTATTTTGAGACTTAAGAAATGCCAGCAGGGTGTCAAGTTTACAGTTTTTTGTTTAAAATGTAGGTTTTCTGAATCTGAAGTACTGCTATGGTTTATTGTTTCAAAGGAGCAAAATGTATATATTAGAAATCTGTCTTTACAACTACAGTCTTCTGTATTTTGACACGTTTTGCGATAATCATTGCCTTATTTTGTATAGATGACATCAGTGGAGAGAGTGGTTGAGTATGCAGAGCTGGAGAGTGAAGCACCCTGGGAGACGGAGAAACGGCCTCCGCATGATTGGCCAGAGGCAGGCTCCATCACCTTTGACAGAGTGAACTTCTCTTACAGTGCCAGCGAGCGTTTGGTCCTAAAGAACCTGACTGTCGTCTTCCCATCCAGAGAAAAGGTTCTTGTCTTTATTCCCACCTGTGCAAGCTTACTGGTGTGCACAGCCCATGACTTAGATTGATATGCAGCTAGTGTAGAAGGCGTGATGTGATTCTTTTTATGTGGCATTATTTTCAAATCAATTATTAAAAGGACACCATATTGTACTGCTGAATCTTCATGACTATACCATTTGTGATTCATGGAATACATATCATGTAATTAAGACTGTTCAAGTGGATCCATTTGTTCCCAATTTGCATTTTGAGCTACCTGACGGTGACAACTGTTTATTCACTATAAGAGAGAGGAGAGGCCGAGGGAAAGGGGCGAGGGAGGAGAGAGAGGGAAGCGGAGGGAGATGGTTGAGGATGATTGAAACTGTGTTTAATGCAGGGGGTGTATTTTGCATGGCTATGGTTGGCCAGGGCGGCTGATTTCACAATGGATGGGTTGATAAGTGTAGAGGCCCTGGCTCTGACAGCCCATGGGAGGGATCTCTGCCACATGCCATGGGGGGGAAAGGCTTTGTGCATCCTGACAGTTCCTCTGACACCCTTTCCGAAGAAAACCTACAGTACAAGATCCATCCACTCTGGCCATCATTATTCACAAGATGTACATAATCATATAAAACCAAACAACTAAATGCAACACCTCAGTTGACCTCCCATCATTGAGCGAGAATCGGATTAGTAGGAATATATTGCTCATTTAAAAAAATCAAGGGTGCACAGTCCTAGTTTAAATGTGTACTATGCTAAAGACAATATTATGTAATTTCCACTAAGGTTTCTAAAGTGCTGATCTGAAATAAGATAAAACCGTTGTTTGATGAATGTTAAGGAAAGTGTGACCGACCAGTTCTGAACCATTTTCAAATCCATGTTGAGACGGTTCTTTTAAGACAGTCATTATTCTTATTTGGTTATACTTTGAAAATATATTTTTTAATTCTCTTTCAATTAGGAATTCATTTTATATCCTTGATGAAAGGGTATACATGCCTCTTGCTTTGTTGTCAACGTTTTTTTTTCTTCCTCTTAAACATTCAAACAGTCTTTTCCAGTTCTTACTCAAGTAGCTAATATTGGGCATGCTCACTCCATGGCTTGGCTTACTGGGAAAGTTAAGGGAGTCCTTCATGTCAATATTAACACCTGTGTATTTGCTGCTCTAAAAGTAAACATGTCTGCCATACAGTAAAACGGTCAGTCATTGAGTATGTTCAATTATTTTGTTAAATACACTAATAGTTCAATAAACACCTTATTTGTTTAGGTTTGGAGATATTGCACATAATTTGAGAGGATGTAAGCGAATATATGGCTATAGTCATGGGCCATCCTCCATTTGCTATGCCGTTGCACCGATTTGTGTTAGCATAATGTTAGCAACTTTGTTTTCCTTAAAAATGGCTTAATTAGACAGAGATGGAGTTGTGGCCGGCCAGGTACGGGCAGATGGCTCTTCCTGTGGTCCCTGTGACATGAGAGCAATTCAATTCAAGCCCAGTAATATTAAAACAAGGTCACTTCCTCCTCCAGCAACTTTATGCAACAGTTTATAGAGAGCAAAAACTTTCATTAGAGAATATTTCTTTATAAAAAACAAACTTACAAAGAGCTTTAGAATTTGAAAGAATCATAAACGTCTCAATACATGTAATGTTTTATAGACCATGAACCTGTATGTTGACTAGCAGAGTGAATACTCTTCTGCTGAGAAAGGATGACCCAATGTGTGTAGCTCCCATTCAGCAGCTCCTTCTGTGAGTCAGTGGTTGCAACAATGTTTTGTTTAGACTATTTTCCCTTTGAAAACATTCCTTTCAAACCTTTGTTAATACTAAATATCTAAACCTTTTTATCCTTGCTACCTGGGTGAAACGCATATGTCTGGGTTCTAAGATGTTTGTGTGTGTAGGATATTTTGGCACCGTGGTGAAGCCTTTTCAAATCATTCTTCCACAATACCCCTTTTCTGTTAAACAAGGAGGTTGCTTGTGCTGTTAGCAGTTCAATCATGTCTGTACACTCTTTGCTGCAGCTTTTTCATAAGAGAGATCTGGTATTTTCTGTTTTCACAGCAAATGTGTTAGTGAGATTTTCTTGACATGCGGTCACAAGGGGTTTAAAAACTTTATTTGCCATTTGCTCAGGCACACATGTTAAAGGTAATTGGAATACTCAGAGATTAGTAATACTAATAATAGGAATACAACAATACAAAGTAATAAGAGATTCACAATATATTGACATGACAATAATTATGTACACAGCAGTGAATATTATTCACAGAGAGGATTCTGTAAAGTTGTTTTTCTTTTCGTCTCAAGGATGTTGAGGTAAATTGTAAAGAAATGGTGTTCACGTCTGCACTCGGCTTGTATACTTCTCGATCGGGTGACTTTTACAGTACATAAAACACATACAAAAGACCGGTAGCCTATAACGTTTTTATAGCCTTGTTTAATGACTTTACTTGTAATCATAAAACTCGAGTTAAAATGACTGCACATTTGACCAAAATAGAGAAATTAGCATGTATTGCATGAAACTATACTACATTTACTACATAAACATGCAAAAGGTCTGAAACAAGATGATAGTTGATGGTACTCCTGCTCATGTGATAAAACAGCAAAGATAAGGACATCAATTTAGTGTAGACAAGTGTATTGATGTTTTCATATTATTTATTTTTTATCTCCGAACAATAATAGTGATTCTATTATACTTAGACATAGGAGTTGCTTCCTCAGTGATATTGAACAAAAAGAATATGTATAATTATTAGCCCAAAAGAGCAGAAAAAGTGGCTTGTGAATACACGTTTTCTTTCAGATTTAATAAATGTTGTAATTTCTCCACTGCAGGTTGGCATCGTTGGACGCACTGGTGCTGGTAAAAGCTCCCTGATCTCCGCTTTGTTCCGGCTGGCAGAACCCGAGGGACGAATAATGATTGATGGCTTTCTGACTTCTGAGATTGGCCTGCACACCCTGCGCCAGAAAATGTCCATCATCCCACAGGTGCCCTTTTTAACATTGGCCGTGACAGTACATATGGTAACCAGTGGATAAATGTAATGAAATATAATAAAATATATACGGTAGATATGGTTAGAACCACCCCAGAATGCAACTTTCAGCATGGAATAATAATGCATATAATGTATTTGTCCTTTCCTTAAACTAATGGAGTTTTACTTGACATATATGGCCTTTTTCTATTCTTCTTGATTGAGAAATGTCAAAACTGTAAGATGAATAATTTTAAGTCACCTACATGATGTTGCCCTTTTTTTATACGCCTGGCTTTTAAAAAGCTAGAACAAGTGAGGAAATGTACAGTCGTCTCAGGGGATTTCTGAAAGTGAGACAAACGGATGCCTTGAGACAGTTTAACTTTATTTCCGCTTGTTGAAACTGATACGGCATTAAGAAAATGCCAGCCTGCGGGTGAGTGTCAGCAGAGTGGAGGGAGGGGAGAAGACTCCCACGGCCTGTACTGTGAAGAGAGCAGTTCCCCATCCCTGACAGAGGATTAGCCCTCTACCCCCCAAACATGGGAAAGCTGCTTAGAAGAAGTCTCCCCCATCCTCACAGTCAGAGTCCCCTTGTACACCGTCACTTAGCCCAAGTCTCAAACATTTCCAGGGTGCAGCCAAGATGCCCTAAAACAGTTTCATTAATGCTTTTTTTGGTGGATTTGATAGGTTTCTGGCATTGCTTCTTCTTCAGATAAAGTTTAACTTCCCAGTCTAAAGTAGGTTGAGATGGATGTGATGTGAGTTTGATGAGATTTTGTTTACTCTTTTACCTTCTCTCCTAGAGGGAGAGAGTTGTACAAAGTGGCAGGTTGCAAGTCAGAATGTAAACTTCATGCTCATCCGTATCACATACAGGATGGCATTTCCATGATATGAAGTCCTAGTAAGGTTTTTCAGTATCATTCTCTTAGTTTTACAAACGGATATAGAGCAAAGTCTCTTGGATTTACACAAATCCATCTGAAAGCCTTTTTATTTTCCTGCGAGACGTCAGAGATAAAGTGATATTCAGTCAGCCTTTCACTTGGAAAAAAATCTTGATATAACTTGCTATTTTCCTTACCTTTTCATGTGGGACTTTGAGTGTGAAACTGTATGTATACTATACATTGCCAGTGAGTTTCATTATTTGCCACCCACTGATTTTATTATGATAAGCTTTTATTAGCATATGGCATTAAAAAAGGATCCATTTCAGTTTCTATTGAATTCTCAGGAATGACTGAGTAAAAATGAATTCTGTGGCAAACAGAGGGCTTAGAATTGGTGGAGCACATAATCGGTCTATAGAAAGCTGTGCTTGAAAGCAGTTTTTCCGACCTAACATTGAATCCTCAATTAAAGTGTGTCACAAAACTAGTTTGAATTGGGACTTCAGCTGGCTTAATGACAAGGTGGCATTTTGGTGACAGAAGGAAAAGTTCATTGGAAGTAAAGAGGTGGAACATTTTCTAAGGCGCAGGTAGCAGGGATGAAGTCCGGAAAGCTTTATTCTTCCTGCAGGAAAATTAAACAGTTAGTCCCGAGTCTTCTGACATACATGGAGGTTTGTTGAAACATTATTTTGTATATAAGGGATGTGTGTACAATGAATGTATCTGTGATTGTGGCTGTGACCTGTAAGAGAGCAGAGATGAAGGTGTGGATAGTGAGTCACATAAATACAAGAAGCCAGAAACCTTAATGCAGGACACTTAACCTTTTAGACTCATTGTGTACTCAAACTCCTGGTCTAATCTCACAGTTGCCAGGTGAATAATTCCTATCTTGACTTTAGGTGAGATTCATAGCTTGAGTAAACTGGAGGTATTACTGTATATAGCCTTGACTGTGATGAGGATACAGTTGGAGTTGGTCAGTTCTTGTTATGGGCAGTAGCTTACTGCTATGCGTCACCTCTGTTGCTGTGACTCTGCCATATATCATCCCAGCTTTTTTCAAATAGCCATTATAACCATTTAGGTGTCATAAATTCAGTTTCATGTTTCAAAGGAAAGCACAGCTGTTTTTGTTCACTGATAATAATAAAAAAGCTTATATGAAAAGCTTATCTAAAGCAGCTTTGTACCATGAGAGGCAAGACTGTCTCTCTATGAGGACCTGGGATAGTAAGAGGAAGTGTTCAGTAAATCACTTCAACACTGAAGCAGGATTTATGAATACATATCTGACCTGACACGAGAAGATGCCGGCTCACTCCTGTTTATCAGGTTAACCACGAACTGAGTGACATGTTAGAAAAGTGCCTTTGGACTTGTGGGCTCGTTCCTCTGTGCTGTAATAAAGAGCTTTATTTACTCTCGTAAAGATGACTGTGCGGCTAAACCTTGATACAGGTGTGTGGCTCACCATAAATACATATCTTTGACATCCTAGCTGTCTTAGATCTGAGGCTGTCCTTTTCTTGAGGGTAGACAACTGATACGATAACCCCTCCTGACAGATGCTTGTGCGTTTGACAGAGTAAAGCTGTTACTTTTTGCCAGACATTTTGAGATTACCATTTCTAATACACCTACTGTATGGAAGTCTTTGTACGGTAACTAGATGGCCCTTTTTGTCCCATCTTATATATTCCGACAATGTCACACCATTGTTATCCACCAACACTAGCGCACCAGCTCTGGTTTTCCAAGTAAAAATATCAACTTATTGAAGCATAGTTGGCCAGAACATTGAATAGAGCTCCTGAGAGGAGCAAGCCTTTTGTGAACATCTTCCCCTCAAACATTGCCTAGCGGCGCTCTATAAAGCTTGTCTTAACCCTTTCATACATCTTCCCCCTTGTCATTATCTTAACTGGCCACGGCCTTCTCTTTCTATATCCATCTATCCACAGGACCCAGTTCTCTTCACGGGCACCATGAGGAAGAATCTGGACCCTTTCAGTCAGCACACAGATGAGGACCTGTGGAATGCACTCCAAGAGGTACTCCAGCGTGGCTCTGAATGATTCCCCCTTGCCGGCCCAGGGGGGGATCCCTCTGTCCCCCCGTACAATGCTGCCATTCAGCCTCCCTGCTCGCCACAAGTCATGGGGGGAAATCCCATTAGGGCCATGGGGCCCAGCTCAATGTGCGGCTTGTAACTGGGAACCATTGAAAGTGCTGGGGGAGATGTGTTTGGGCAGTCAGGCCAACCAGGATGAAGGCTCCCCCCACAGTGAAGGGCTTCAGCTCCTGGTCCTGCCTCTGAATGGGTTTGGTGGCCTGGATTAAAGCTAGAGGCTGGCCACAAGAGAGCACTGGCCAAGGTCATCAGTGGACCTGGCCCTGCATTGTGCCAGGCGGTTAATGGGTGTGTTTGGATAGCTCTTTAAAGACATCCCCACAGGAAGCCTTTATGAAGGGGTAATGAAGGGTTGGGGCTCTGCTCTCCCTCTCTGCAGGTGCAGATGAAGGCCGTGTTGGAGGACCTGCCCAATAAGCTGGAGACGATGCTGACGGAGTCCGGCTCTAACTTCAGCGTGGGCCAGAGGCAGCTGGTGTGTCTGGCCAGGGCCATCCTCCGGAAAAACCGCATCCTCATCATTGATGAGGCAACGGCTAATGTGGACCCCAGGTCAGAGGACACTCGAGTCAACAAGTGAAGGATTCTACACTTTTGTTATACAAACCCAAATTATTCCTAAAACAATACATTCGTTCCAACGAATCTACAAATAAATGAATAGCACATTCAAGTAAAACATTCAAAGTCATTAGAGAGGCCACACATCTAACCCTTAGTAATTAGCAATGTTCAACCAATTGCCTGATGGGAAACGGATTATATAAAAGGATGATATTTTGTTATTATATCATTGGAGCATACGCTTATCAATTATTGAATTATTCATTTACTTGTTCATTTGGATCCCCATTAGTCACAACTACTTTTCTTTGAGTCCACAACATCATAGGCCACACAGGGTTGAATACATCAAAATGTACAAATTACACATTTAATATGACTTCAAATAGGCAGAACATGATTGTAAACCATATAAAATCTAAGTATTCCAAAAGAATAACACGAAAAATAATGCCTAATAAAACTAAACAATCTTCACAAAAGTCAAAATAAACTGAACCTATCTTTTGTTAACTGAAGGAGCTTTTCTTTCCTTTGTTTTGTATGCCCTCTATTGCACATACCTCACTGATGATGAGCCATTGTTCAGTGTTAAGTAAAAATCCCTGCCCAAGGGTCTAAAGGAAGAGTCTTTTTGTGCTGAGGTGTTGTGTTCCCTGCTCCTTTTTTAGAACTGACAGCCTCATCCAGCAGACTATCCGGGACAAGTTTAAGGAGTGTACCGTCCTCACCATTGCTCACAGACTCAACACTATCATTGACTGTGACAGAATACTGGTAAGTAAGAAAGCAGTACATTTCCATTGTCCAGCACTTAAATCAACATTTTAAACGAAACTCTTCTCCTTCTGTTAGCAGTTATAAGAAATAATTAAATTATCAATAATGACACTTTCAGTTATTACATTTAACGATTTCCCTTCACAAACATGTTCCTTCTCATCAATTATAATAAATGTAGCTTCCATTGTGTGTCAAATATGTAGTTCAACACTGACACACGGAAACATACCCCCTATATTCGCTGCCACTGAAGCATGACAAACACACCTGAGATTCAGAGCTTACAAACGCCTCCTCCCTTCATTGCAAGGAGCCTCCTGCACAATCTTTTAATTCACTTGCTCTATTTTGCAACAGCTGGCCTGATTCACCCTCACAGCGTTCCCTCATAGAGCCTCTGCTCAGGCCACTTGATCTTTGGCCCTCTCCTTCTACTGCCTGCAGAGGTGCCAATTAGTGCCATTTGTGGCAGCATTTGTTAAGCGTCTATGGAGGACAGGGCACAACCTGGTGGCTGCTCGGTCACTGAGAGGGTTGCTGAGAAAAAGCCAGATATCACACAGCGGGGGACTGTTTCACACCTACACTCGCGTTATATGCCCCCAGATTGTTTTGGCCTCACCTGGATTGCATGGTCTAATCTTAAGCTTTGCCATATTTAGACGCATAATGTTCCCAAAATACAAACTCCATCTCCTTGTATCCTGTCTATTATGACAGCAGCTGCAGCAGTCTCCCTTTCATACTTAATACACCCTGAAACTTGGCTTTAGTGATAACAAACTGCTCATTACCACTGTAAGGGGATGGAGCTTGTTAAAATTTGTCTGTGATATAATTGTAGTCTTTTCCAAACTGCTTGAATTGGCACTATTCTTTGTGTGGTTTATATGGCATGTGATGACACAGAAATGATGGTAATTGACTAGAGTGTCTTAAAGGTGTGATTGTTGGATTTGACTGAGGACCACCCCTGAGCTGCTGAAACGCCAGGATAAACACATGGATAAATCACTGATCTTCAGTCTGTCAGAGTCAGCGTGCTTGACTTTCACACTGCTAACAGGACACGCTCATTGTCAGTCACCCTGTTGAGCACAAACAGGCACCAATGTTTGCTGTTGCATGAGTCACATGAAATGGATGGTTCCTATGTGCAGAGACTACCGTTCCCCCCATTCATCTTGCACTGTCTGCATGCATCGCTCAGCAGGGAAACAGCTGATATGTCAGTTTTCCCCAAAGTAAAGTATACGTGCAGTGATGCCTACTCACACCCGGCATTGTATGTGTGATTGCAGGTTCTAGATGCCGGCAGGATCGAGGAGTATGACGAGCCATATGTGCTGCTCCAGAACCAGGAAGGGCTCTTTTACCAGATGGTCCAACAGACAGGCAGAGCCGAGGCCGCCTCACTGCTACACACAGCCAGACAGGTAACCACACCTACCTTTGTCCCAGGACTGGCTTGTGACTAAATAGAGTCCAGCCGTGCCACACTAATCCCAGACTCTCCCTTTAACTCCAGTCTTCATTGCTTACCTCCAAAATGATACAGTTAAGCAGAGAAGATGTGCATTACCCTGACAATGCAAAGACACTTGATTACCATTTTAATTTAAAGTGCCTACTCGGAGCAATGCAACACCATAACATTAATTTCAAGAGAAAAATTGTTCCCTTTGTAGATTTCCATCCCCTGATTTTATCAAAGAAACTCCCCGTATAATCTTTTTCTCATAATGTAATTTTGAGATCATTTTAGAGATGATTCCAGAAAAGCAGCTTTCTTTGCAATACAGCTATTTGGAAATATTGGGTTTAACTTCATCGCGATTTGGGATAAACTTTCTATGGGGATTACTGTAATGGAGAATGTCCATATTTTTTCCCTGTGAAATTCATTTGTGATGTATTTCCCCTTCAGACAGTGAACAGATAAGAGCTGGCTATTCATTGTTCAATTCCATTTTATGTGCATCTGTCTGGGACTTCAGATACCATATTGCAACTTCAAACAGGTCTTTGTGAAATAAGAAAAAGTAGGCATCATTTCATTTTCTCTCTGTCCCTCGCACAAATTTATCAGCGGAACTGTATCTCCTCCGCCAGAGGAGTGAAATGAGTAAAATACTGATTTCAAAGACTCAGCACACTGTGGTATTATTTGGTATCGTCTTACCCTGTACACTGGCGGATTGGTAGTGACATTGTTCAAGCCCTTACGTTTTCCTTTCTTTATTGTAGGGTGCTCTGCTTAGATCAGATTACCACGGCATCCATAACTGTCTAGCACCACTTATTAAATACTGAGATGGTCCACATGTTGTGTGTCAAGTTTCTATAGTTGTCAGTCAAGGTTTAAATACATTCAATAATCTGATATCAACCTCTAGCTCCTTTGTCCGCGTTGAAAGAGAATCCCAGAGCAGAAGGTATATCTCTGAGGCCGACCTGTTTTCACCTGTTTTCACCTGTTTTCCTCTTTTTCTCAAACTTTCTCTTATCGTTGGTCTGTCAGAGCCTCTTTGTAGTAAGAAACCATGTATTTTGTAAGCAAACACACAGGTAAAAATGAACTCAAATGGAACAAATAATTTCAGTGATTATCTCTGATATTTTCAACCGTGAATTTCCCAGAGCTAAATAAGCCACTTTTGCATGCTTGAGCGGGTGACAAATCCCTTCACCCAGCTCTGACTGGATCTGTCATGAATCACACCCTAAATAGATCGTAGCTTAGATTGGACTGTGTGCTTGTGTTCTGTGACACTGCTTCCCTGATGCACTTCCAGGTTTACATCAACAAAAAGCGAGTGGCAGACGTGCACTGTGCCAAGGACATCCATGTCATCTTTGAGACGTCCCTTTGACAGTTTGGAGAGTCGCTGTGGACCTCGTACTCGCCATCACTGACCAAATCTTTTTCTGGATATTCTTACATTCCTTCCTGTTAATCAAATGTATTTAGATTCCCAGTAGCTAGTGTGTAGTATGTGCTGTGTTTGATTGGCGCATTCTTTTGATATAGAACAACTAGCTGAGGCAGGGTGTGCCTTTTTATTGACAGGATTTTACTGCATGGCTGTTTATTGATTACACCCTGCTATGTTTATGTATGTGTGTTCTGGCCTCTGGGGTAGCTTCAATCCTGCACCGGTGCTCAAAAGAGTGCAGATATTGGATGTGATTATCCTGGTGCGATAAATTATTGGTGACTTAAATCATTCTTTTAAGGCACACATTGTGTAATAGGTCTGAGGTGTTTTTATTATTCAGGAAATGCTTGAAAAGACTAGGAGAATGTGAGAGGAGAGATGTTCTCAGTAATTATTGTGCCTTAATCAGACTATTGATTCTTGTTTTTAATTGCACAGTTTTAATTAAGTATCCTTCCAGCACTTAAACGATAGTGGTTATATGTCTACCTCAACTCTTGTCAAGAGAGAAGAGTACAATTTGAATGTAACATTTCATGTACGGGCAATCATAATGAACACTAAGAAACGTGGGACAGAAGTGTGTTGCATCTAATACATTTTAGAGACTATCAACTTTACCCCTATTTTTGTAAAATAGGCTTTTGTTGCTTTTAAAGCATAGCATAGCTTAGCTGTTTCTTTGGCAGTAATAGGACGTTTAGTATGACTATTTATAGCTCCTATGTACTTATATTGTTTTCTCAGTAAATGTATTGTTTTGTTATGTCATATTTGATGGAGTTGCACTTTGTAGTTTAGTAGTAAATAAAAGAATGTCTACAAATAAATGTCTTCATTTTGCATTTAAAACATTATCTTGGCTCAAAACATTCCCTCAATAACCATTTCCTTCTGCTGTTGCTCAGCCTGTGTTCAGATGTCTGAATGGTGTTTGCTTCAGTTCAGTGGTCTTGACCAAGATGCTACAAATTGGTAAGTGGTTAAGGAGAACAACCTAGTGATTATCTTCTTGAGTCAACTGATTTCTATGATGGTAAAATGCTACAGCCATTTACTCTGTTATTTTAGAAAGCTGGTGCAATATGATGATTATACCCCCAATTAAATTGTGATTTTCTCATCACCAGCGCAATTAGAAACGAGCTGTTTAATTCCCTTTCATACAGAAAAGAGCAAAGCTGGTGATTATGCGTTCAGAGATTGCTGTCAGTAAACACTTAGCTTGCTATAAAGGCTGTATTTAACCAGGCCCAGATTTGGGTGGTGAACTGCGGGACATCAGTTCCTTTAAACGCTGAGTGATTTACACAATTCATTAAAGCCAGTGAATCTTCAGCCAGCGTCATATTAAATGGTTACTTACTCTCAAATAGCCCCTTGGGAGTTGAATTGTTGGCTCACGAATAGATTAAAGTTTACATTGAAAAGAGAAATTGAATTCAGAGGTAATCAATAGCATAATGGGCCAGTGAGAGGAGCCTGCTGCCTCAAATGAAATTACCATATTTTTAATCTTAATTTTCCACTCTGTTTATCTGACAGTGTGGATGTGCAATCCAAACAGATAATGAGAGAGTGGGATATTGACAGAGAGGTCCTCTGGAGTGCTTGTTTCAGTGATTAAACGCTGTGATCTGTGATTACTTTGTGTCTGGTGTCAGGCTGGCAGCCAGGGCCCGGGGAGACACAGGCCCAGAGCAGCTGGAGCATCATGGGTCTCTGAGGTGCTAATGCACCTGACACAGCATTGACAGCATTCGAAATCCTATCAGGGACTGCGCCACACGGCAGCTGCCACAATAGGAATACTCATAGCACTATCTACATCAGAGTCAGCATATATCCTCTCTGCTCTCCCCTCGATAACAGTCAACACAAGAATGGCGACAACAAAGTTTGCACAATAAGTATTATTAACCAGATACCTTCCGACGTCCCCCAATAATAGCACCATTTTACGACGTATCTGAATACAGTAGGTGTGCAAATAGCAATGCCGTCAACATAGTGCTGATATGGCTTTAATAAATAAATGTGTGAGAAACCTGGCTGTCCCTACAATGAAGTGTAATCCCAAAGAAATAAAACACAAAAAAGGAGTCGGCACAATGTGGAGGCGGCGAGTGAAATGATGCATTCACACCGTAGCATTTAGCCCATCCACACTTTAAGAGAGGAGTGATACGTTGGTGCTGATTTGAGGATGTGATATGCGTCCTATTCTGTTTTATTGTCAGTCGAGGGAAGAATAATGTAACAAGTATCCACAACAACAGAAATGGTGTAAATTGTTTACGGTTGTTTTGTTATGGGCCAATAAATAAGTAGTGTTGAGGCCATTTTGGGTTGAGGAAACAATGTTTTTCACAAACTTTCTGTTGTGCCAGCATTTTCTTTTGTGATGGATACTGCTGTTTGACAAATGGAAACAAATTGCATGGTGCAGGCGCCTGAATGGCAGGGAGTTGGGGAGTGTCAAACTCGGTGCTGAAAGACGATGAAGCAAGAGCCTCAGGTTTTTGTGGGCGACTCAGACCTGACTGATCCCAGCATAAAGTACTTGTTGAAGAGAATGAGAAAAGGAGAACAGGATTTCGACAGGCTGCAGTGAAATTAGGAGAATTGACTATGGCGGCTTTGTTCCTGGCTGGTGACATGGGGTGGGGGAGATGGGGAGACTGGAGCGATTCCCCAGAGACTCTGCGCTCAGCCTTTATAAAGTGACTACAAACTGAATATCTGACAAGTTCCCAAGGCCTGACATGACTCTGTGGGGAGCTAAGAAAAACAAACAACAAATGGCATGTTTTCAAGATACATGTAGTGACACTACATGTCTGTTTAGAAAACGGCTTTTTATCTTGTTAAAAATAGGTTATCAATTTGAAATAAGGATGCTATATTTTATAGTATGTCGCAACAACCTAGTTAGATTTAGTTTTTCCAACAGACTTTGTGAAAGTAGAAACTACCAAATAGGTTGTATTGATTTGCAACTTATTAGACGTCTTATACCTGTTTCTATTTCATCTTCAAAAAACAGAAACTGCCACATAGTTCTTCCCATGCTTGCACACGTGAGTCTTAATAAGCCTCACTGTATCACGGTGTCTCAGCAGTTTAGTGACCACTCTGGACTGGCTCACTAATACTGCTACAAACAGTAATTACAGGTCACATGTGTAATGGATGATTGTGCTTCGTAACCTCCCCAGGCTGTGGTTTGTTTCAAGCTCTGTAGAGTGTGAGTACATTTAATATGCTCTGGATAATTTCGCTCAAATGTAACACCAAACAAGTGGTTTCAAAGAAGCCTGGATTCTTTTTGTAATTTCACCTGCCCCTGCTACTTTGAACTAAACTGGCTAATGTGGTCCTTTGAAAGGCCACCAAATAGGAAACCTCTTTGCTTTAGCCTTAAATCCTGGGCATGCTCTGTCACCTTCCAAAAGTGCTGTTTGATTCTTCAACAGTGAGAGAAAGAACCAAAGTGG